AGTTTTGTAGATGAACATACATAAGCAGCATGTTTGCGCAAATTCTTAATATGATCTTAGTTGACTTAAGGATTTTTTATCTAAGACATAAGATTAAAGTACACCAGGGAATAAAAATGTAACCATAATTGGTATGCCTTTTTCTGTCCATTCAAGTACTTGCCTTTTGCATAGATAGCAACAACTGCCATAGTTTGCTTAACCTTTTGGAAACGTATATAGTTCAGACTCAAAGTGATCCGAAATTGCATGAATTTTTTAATTAATTACAAAACCGTATAATAGCAATATTCTGAAGACTGTTTCTAACAACTACACCTTACTAGAAGGTGGGTATCATATTCAATGAATCATTTAGTTGGAATATAGTTATATATTTTGCAGTTAGGTTTGAGGTATCCGGGTAAACTCAAAAGTTTTGTGTAACCTTAAATCCTAAATTTTCAATAATTTTTCAAGCTATACTAGTAGTTGTGAATTCCCTACATAGATCAAGATTATTATTCAATGTCAGCATTATTGTTCAGACAAGCACGCCATATTGCGTCGCGTCATATAGCCATAAGGTCGTTTTCCCAGAGTGTTCAAAGACCTTTCATCAGTAACTTTTTTGGTTCAAAACAATTGAAGCAGAGAGAAGATATAATTAAGAATCAAGATAATTATGAAACAGACCAAGACTCAAAGATTGTGATATTGAATGAAGAAAATTCACCTGAATATAAACCATTTAGTCCCAGTGAAGATATGCCAGATTTCCAAGTTTCACAATGGAAAAACCACATTGTGAGAAGTAAAGATATCGAGAACACTTATTCACCTGAATCATTACAAAATGTCATCAACAAGACGTATCAAGAAGTAAATGGTAGTGAATTAAATGGTGATTATTCATCAATTAGCTTAAATGACTTAGAATTTAGATTCAAATTTTCTAAGCATTTACAGCAGAACTTAGGATTTGATATCAATGACCATGTATTGACTAAATCTCATACTTTAGAAGCTTTATATAACGAATTATGTGATGTAATTTCCACTAGATGGACTGATGAGAGAAATCCAAATGCTATTGTTCTTCGCCGTGAAGATTTCACTTCTCCTAATATTTACTTAAATGAAGAATTATCCAAAGAAGAACAAGAAAGAGTATATAATGAGCTTCTCGAAAAGGCTAAGGAAGCTTCTCTTAGTTAACCGAATAGTCACACTTGTATATAATATTTAAATAAATAATAGTTAAATTATAGAAATAAGCAATTATTTTTTGCTCAATGTAAAGCCGATAATTATAGATGTGGCCAATATCCCTAAGGCGCCAGGAATTAATATTTCATTGGGTATTCCTTTCAAGATTTCTTCCTTTTCTTGTTTATTTTGTTTTTTATTTTTCATTTCGTTTACTGGTGCCGATTCATGCGGATTATGTATGTACAAATCTGCCTTATCATTATTAAGTTGTTGGTTGATCCTCACACAGTCTAAAAGGTCAGAATCAGAGGTGATCGAAACGATATCACCTTCATCATCAACATAGCTTATAGCATAGCTTTCCCCGTCTTGATCATTCTTTACCACTCTCAAAAATTCAAAGTCATTAGAGTACAATTTACTATCCATCAAACTTCTTAATTTAGTTACTCCTTCACTTGGCTTTAATGATATACGATGAACCCGTCCTTCTACAGCTGGAGACTTGAATTTAAATGTATATGGTAAATCAGATGGAGAATTCGTCAAATTTGAAGATTTTCTAGGCGATTCTGTATGGGAAATGGAATCAGAAGGTTTAATATCAACATTGAACGAATGAAATTCTGAGGGAGTCACATCAGGAGGAGCGCTTCCAGTACCAGTAACAGAATCAGAATGTACAGAATCTGAATCTTCATTATCTAAAGACGTCCAAAATTTGTTCCAAGCAGGACCTTCGCTATTGATTGCAGTTTCACTACCAGATCTTCCATCGCTATTGATAAGATCATTACTCTCAGTTTGTTTAATTTGATTCAAAGTTGCATATGTCAATTTTAAAACATCAACTATACCAACGATATCATTTTCTTTTCCGATGATTGGTAAATTCAAATAGCGGCCTTCAAACATTTGTCTCAAAGCTTCCTGGATCGACAAATCTTGTTTGGCAACATCAGGTTGTGGAGTCATCACTCTAACAATAGAGCATTTCTTTGGATCTAACCCTGCAGCGATAACTCTTAATACGACATCTTTGGAAGTGAAAATTCCAGCAACTTCTTCGTTGGTATCTTTGATCAAAACTGCAGTTGTTTTGTTTTCTTTCATCAATACTGTGGCATCATAAACAGTAGTTTTGACCGTAGTATATACTGGAGTTGTTGACGCATCTAACACACTTTCCAAAGTAGGACCATTCATCTTATTTTTCAAGTTTTCAAAATATTGAAAAACATGTAAAGGTTGCTGCATCATTCCCATTTCTGAATGAACATTATCCAATGCTTCATATAATTTTTTGGAAGACGCATGCATTCTCTCTAATTTTTCCATCTGCTGTGCATAGCACTTTGTAATATCTAACACCCCAACTATTTGGTTGTTCTCGTCTAATACCGGCAAGTGTCTGAAGCCCTTATGAACCATCAAATTTAATGCCTCTGAGGCTGGAGTGTCAGAGTTAGCACACATTGGGTTTGGGGTCATAATCTGGTCAATTGTCACCAGAGTAGCACTCAAACCAGCCCCGACTATTCTAAATGCCAAATCCTTAGCTGTGAAAATACCCAATAATTCCCCAATGTCATTCACTACCAATATACAATTTTCTCTTTTAGCTGACATCAATTGTGACACTTCATAAACTGTTGAACTTGTTTTACAAATAATTGGCTCGGATGGCTTTAACGATAAAACGGTACCTGGAACTCCCTTCTTATGTCTTGTAGTCCTGGTTCCACTTTTCTTCTTTTTGCTTAAATCATTTTCAATTTTTCTTCTTATAGCATCGTCCCTCTTGGACTGTCTTCTTCTTGATTCCGAAACATCAATAAATGGATCTACATCTCCATTAGACGATGGTTTCTTTGAGTTTCTATACGATGACATAGCTGCTACTACTTGTCTATGTAGAAATTAGTTCTTTATGATATCTTGAAATAAAGGAAAAGTTTTATCAATTAGTTCTTAACAAAGCCAAATTGTAAACATTGATTTTGTGGATATATTTTAATTCGGGGGAGGGGGATTATATACAGAATAGATTTACATATTATACAACAGATATGGATGGGTACGTTTATACCTTCACCTCTACAATATGAACTTCTATTAGAAGCTATCTATATTATATTATCCTTAGAATGATCTAGATATAGTCCATCTAGAAAATATATGTTTTCCATGTAATATCAAACAAGAAGGTTCAGTTTAAAACTGCGAATGCGCAGGACTGAATTTGAACCATAGATCTTGACATTTTTCGACAAAAGATGACTTAAATATTATACTTGATAATATTAAGTATTGAAATAGATAATATTGCTCAGGGGAATGAACTGAGTAAGGTTTGTTAGTATGGATGTAGTGAGACTTTGATTGTTGAAAAACTGTGATGAGGTAAGAATTAGTATCGGGTGAAATAGTTTGCAACCACATTAAATGCAATATATAAACAGTGAAATCTCGTTTCGCTTTTATAGCGGCTATTTCTAGTTTTAAAGTATTTTCCTGCTATATAGATAAAATGTCTAGCAAAGTTACAACATTAGTGTTAACCTTTCCTTTATTCACATATGCTATAGAATTGTTGAAGGATTTCATTATTTCTATGATGAAAACTTCACCAATTCCTAAACATATTGGCCTAATTATGGATGGAAACAGACGATATGCAAAATCAAAGGATATAGAACTAAAAGACGGTCATAATGCAGGAGCAGATTCTTTGATTCAGGTACGTACAGATAATATACGAGGAAATTGAAAACAATCACTAACAAATGAAGGTCTTAAATACATGCTACAAGCTTGGAATTCTCCATGTTACGGTGTATGCATTTTCTATTGAAAATTTCAATCGGTCTAAAGAAGAGGTTGATACATTGTTTTCTTTATTAAGAGATAGATTAAAATTTATATCCGAGAAAGAGGAATCATACGCTAGATTCAACAGTATTAGAATTAAAATCATCGGGAATAGGACAATGATACCAAGCGATATATTGAAAGACTTAGAAGATATCGAAGAGCGAACTAAGAACGTTTCTTCAGCTAAAGTATTGAATGTTTGCTTTCCATACACTTCGCGTGATGACATTGTTCACTCAATTCAAAGTATTGCCTCTCAGGTTGAATTAAAAGAAATCGAATCAAATGAACATATCACTTTGGAAACTTTAACTAATAATATGTACATGGGACCAAATACTCCGCCTTTGGACATCTTAATCAGAACTAGTGGTCATACCAGGTTAAGTGATTTTATGCTATGGCAATGCAATTATAATTGTATGATCGAGTTTGTTGACACTTTGTGGCCTAATTTTAGAGCTTGGGATATAATGTCAATTATAATGAAATGGAGTTATTACAGAACTTTGCAACTCGAACAGCAACGAATTATGAGCAATAAGAAAACTGACAACCAAAAGCTATCGACAGATATACTAAAAGAATTGCCACCACATCCACCATTTGCTTCAATTACTCAGCATTGATGGAGTATTATTCGTCTATTCTCATTCAAGAGTCTTTACAAGTTTTTTAACCTCTAACTTGCTTCTTTCTTTAACTTTTGCTTCTTCAATCTTATTCAAGTAGCTCATGTACACCACAACTTCCGCAACCAATACTAGTATGCCAAAGAATAAACATAATAATATCCTATAGCCATCCTGTATTTTCATTGAGCTATCTGTCCAGTACCAAATAGCATAAACTACACTACCAACACTTATTAAAATATTGACAATTGTTGTCAATTGGCTCTTTACTTCCTTGTGTGCTTGAGCTGGTGTCATCATCTCTTCGAGCGAATTATTGTACAACGTATCGAATTCCTGTTTTGGTTTAATTAACTTTTGATATTCTTCTTCTTTTGCCTTTAGTCTTAGTTGCTCCATTGACTTAATGAATTCTTTAGATTTTGGTCTCGATTCGTTACTTACATTAAGGTTAGGAGTATAGAGTTTTGTACTTCTTATAAGTGCAATTAATGTGGGAGTTGGTTTGTAATCTTTATAGAACAGCACTAAATTTTGATGAGATATATATGCATTTGATAACAAATTTTTGGCTATCTCATCAGGGATATCTGTTTTTTCAATAGTCTCCTTTAATGTGGGAGTAATTTCAAACTTTGTCATGCTGCTGTAAGAATTAAAAACTGGAGTGAATAAAAATGGATATATGTTGAAATTCAAGCGCATTAATCAACCAGAGAGCAGATAATCAAAATTACTCATAAATTCAAAAAAAAAAATTGTTTGACCTAAAATAATATAAATTGATATATTTTTGTCAGATATGACGGTTAGTTCATCTACTATTGTTGGTGCATTAGCATGCCAAAAAAATTCATTTTTGAAAACTTTACAAACTGTTGTGATATCATGCTTTGAACATAAACCCCAGAGCGCCCAAGATAAGCAGAATAAGAATAAGAAGAAAGCAAATGAAAATATTGATGAATCAGAAAAGAAATTGTATGCTGTTGAATTAGCTGATACCATTTTATTTCCAGAGGGAGGTGGACAACCATTTGATTTTGGCTCTATCATCTTACCAAATGATACGAGACTTCCAGTGAAAATGGTCTTACGAAACCAACTAACAGCACTTCACATAGTTCCCAACCCCATTGATCCAGGAACAAAAGTTACTTTGCAAGTAGATTGGGATAGAAGAATAGATCTTATGCAACAGCACACTGGCCAGCATTTATTATCTGCAGTTTTAGATACATATGATTTAGAAACTTTGAGCTGGTCTTTAAATGAAATGATTAATTATGTTGAGCTACCCAGAAAGGTTAGTGATGAAATTGTCGAGGAAGTTAATAAAAAGGTGAACGATTACATATTGGAAGGATTGCCGATTAAAGTGGTTACGCCTGATGAGCACGGGGAAGAAATAGATACGTCCAATATACCTGATGATTATGATACGTCTAAGGGTATTATTAGAATAGTCAAGATCGGAGAATTAGATTCGAATCCATGTTGTGGCACTCACTTGTCATCAACTTCACAGATTCAAGCCATTTCCTTGTTACATCAAGTTAACGTTAGAGGGGGAAACTCACGTTTACATTTCATCTGTGGTTCAAGGGTTTACAAGTATTTGATAAAGCAACATCAGATTTTAAAAGCTGTATCCGGTGGCCAGTTATCATGCCAAATTGAAGAGGTGGCTGAAAAAGTTAGTGCATTGAATTTAAACTACAAGAAATCCACTTCTAAAGAGTCGAATTTGTTAAAAGAGTTAGCTGGAATTGAAGCTGTTAGAATATTTAAGATACTTAAAGAAAAGAGCGGTCAAACCGAATTCATTTATAGATCTGATAATAGTCCTGAATTTATTACAGCTTTTCAAAAAGAATTAAGTACATTAATCAAAGAGAGTAAAGATTGTGGAATAGATTTAGATAAAAATCAGACTGTTGTATTATTGAATGGAGACTTTTCATCGGGTGCAGGAGGAATGGTTAAAATAATGGGACCAAGATCTGCTGAAATCCAGGCTGAATTGAAACAGAGGATCTCTGGATTGAAAGGTGGTGGTAAAGGTAGCACATTCCAAGGCAAAGTACCTAAATATGAAAAAGGTGAATTAGAATCAGTTTTAAACTATTTAGAGCAATTGTGTGATAAATAATGAATACACGTATTTATTATTTGTATGATATATGTACATGAATATAAAGAGATAGAAAGTCTATTACAATTGGGAAACTAACGCTTAACCCAGGTTGGTGACTTTCTTGCTTTAACCTTACCTGGCTTCTTTCTTTCGACTTTTCTTGCATCTCTAGTCATTAATCCAGACTTATGTAATCTTGATTTCAATAATGGGTTAAAAATCACCAAATCTTTGGCAATACCGTACATAATTGCTTCAGCTTGACCTGTAGATCCACCACTGTGAACTTCGGCAAAGACGTTATATTGTCCTTCTTGCGAGACAACTTGGAATGGATATGCAATTCTACGACGGTCAGCCTCTTTTGGAAAGTATTCGAATAGAGATTTACCATTGATCATAACTTGACCATCACCTTTGGTTAAGTATACCTTAGCGACTGATCTCTTTCTCTTGCCAAGACTTATTGCTCTTCCAAACTCATCTAAAGTTTTCACTTTTTGTAAAGCTTTAGCTGATTCACTAGAGGTGTTTGTGAATTTTGTCAAAACATCAGAAACCTCCCTTGGCATTAATTCCTGATCGATACTTCTTAATCTATGTAATAACTGGGTTAATTCTTTGTGGTGGATAGGCTTGAGTCTGGTACCAGATTGAATTCTTGATTTATATTCTTCAAATGAAACAAACTTAGTATTTTGTATTTCCTTGTCATCAACAATTCTGGTTGGAAGGTTGATATATTTTCTTATAAGTCCATTCAAGGTATTTAAATTTTCTTCATGAACTGGGTTACCTCCATAGAAAGTATTCAACTTTGGAATGATTCTTAATCTTTCTAATTCATAATTCCTCAAAGAATTTTCTTGTAATTTAGAAGGAATCATAAGTCTCTCACCTCTAGCATTTTTCAAGTTAGCAGGAATCAATGGCCTTCCATTGATTTCAACATCTGTTGACTCGTGTGCTTGATTAGCTTGTTCCTGTAATCTAAATGCGGTTCTACAGAAAGTCCTATTGGATATTCTTAATCCACTTATACTGTATAACAGTCTTAACGACATTATGTTAAGCTGTGAACTAGTTGAACTGTAAGATTACTAGACAAAGGTACTAGATATATTGAAACTTTATGAACATTATTATGAAAAATTTCTTAGCCATCACACGACACATTCAACAAGAGCCATATCTTACATAAGCATACTTGGACTACTATCAATAATATGAATAAATATATTGAACCTTGCTATACTATTGTACAAGTATTAGGTATATCAGGTCGTAACTAATTAAATATAATACATTTGCAACGGAAATAAAAAAAGATTAAATAATGGTAAAAAAAAAAATCATTGTTTCTTTTCTTTATTGTCGATTCCATCAGAATTAGATGGTGTAGTTGCAGAGAGTAAAGCATTTAAACCATTTCCTGATGGCGGAATGCTATACTTATCAAGCGCTGGTAAATCATTACTAGATGGGGAATTAAGTAGAGATTTCAAGTTATTAGTGGCTCTTGTCGGTTCAGGCTTGATAGGACTTGAGTCAGAATTAAGTAGACTCATTATTGATGAACGGGGTAATTGTGTAGTAGGAACAACCGGTTTGGTAATCATTTCAGACATGGCTGTTACAGTAGAAGGACGTTGAGACTCAATATTAATTTCTTTCTTTATTTCAGCATTATTCAGAGTACCAAGATGATTTTCGTAAGCATTGGAGACATTTTTGTCATTGGAGCCATTTTTAAAAATAGGTGGATTGTTGTTGATCGAATTCATTGCAGCCCCTAGCGATGACAGAGGAAGAGAAGGCGAAGCGGAAGATTGATTCTGTGGGGTAGACTGCACATGCTGGAATGTTCCGATTGGGATATATGCGGATTGTGCCGTAGTAGGTGTTATCGAAGTATTGATGACAGGCGGCTGAATAGGATACTTCTCTGTCATCAGATCTTGTTTTGTATTTGTATCTGACGGCGCGTTCAACACTGCAGCAAATTTGGCTTGTAATCTTTCATCCGCCTTCTCGGCAACTTCATTCCATCCGTGTCTTTCTGCATTACGTTGAAAATAATTGCGTACCATTGTCGCAGATTTCGTAGTTAACTTATCTGCAATAGTTGTCCACTTAGTACCATGCTCCATTAACAAAGTCGGGAACATATTGGCTTCCGTAATACTCCAATAACTTGAAATTGTTTTACGCCGTTCTTTTGATTCTAAGTCATTTTGTTCTGAATTTTGGGCGACTTCAGATTCATTCCCTTTAGCTTCCAATTCAGTGTCATTGTTATCTGGCATCGGCAAACTTACAGGCACAATATCTGCATTGGCTTCTATAATATCACTGACGGCAGTTGCTGGTGTATCCTCTTTCTTTTGCTTTCTTGCTTTCTTCTTTTGTAATTGATTTGACGAGTCACTTGCTTTACTTTCGGTAGGCGATTCGGTCTTCTTTTTGTCTGATGTTACACCTTCAAATACGGGTGCTGCAGTTCTTTTTCTTCTCCCCGCATCTGTGAAAACTTCCTCTCCAAAGTATTCCGTGGAATTTTCAGTAGATGTAGGTGTGTCATTATATGATTCTATTACACCATTTTCGATTACTGTCTCTGTAGTTGGAGTAGAGATAGGAGTGCCATTCTGAGAAACATTTCTTGACTTCGAAGTCTTTCCACGACGATTATTTTTCCTACTTGCCTTCTTTTTGAAGCTAAGAACTAATTGCTTGTAATTGACTTCTTTTTTAGTCATGTAGTAATGAACAACACAATCTTCGGCTGTTCGCAAACCACCCATATGTCTAGAAATTGCTCCAAATCGCTTGGGGAACATGCAAAACCCTTCACAAAATAAGGCATGCTCTTGAGCAGAAAAGTTATTCTGAAAATCGGTTTTAACTCTGGTAGTCCAGTGCAATTTATCATCAACAATGTTATTCGAATCCATAAACTTCACATGGTTTCTTTCAATCGGATCAAGAATAAAATCGGGAATCACAGCGGAGACTTTTTGAGCTCTGATTATAGGATCTTCTTCTTGCTCTTTACCTAGAGATTGTAATATTTCTTGAAACTCGGCCTCTGTAGTAACCAAGTCACCATGTCTACGATTTCGACGATTATTACTACTTTGAGGAGGTGGAATATCCTTAGCACTCGTAGGTTCAATATTAAAGTCTTCCTTGATTCTAATGTCTATTGCTTCTAATTCCTTCTTCATTTCGTCATCGGCTGGATGAATTAATTTCAATTGCTGGTCCATTTTTTCTCTTTGAGCTTCCCATGCTTCAAGACCTCTCGAATAATCTTTCCATAAAGAAAGCTTCTTACGCTGTACTAAACGTTTGTTATGCGATAAATTTACTGATAATTTTTCTCTTTTGCGAGAAAACAATCTTAAATTATTTGTGAAAAATGGATAATCATGTAAGTTATCTATGGGTTTTGCTAATGAATATTTCAAATAATCCCCGTTTGTTTTACTAAATGTTTCGAACTCTTCTTGTAAATTTCTAAACTCAGATTCCAATTTATTAACGGGAAATTCACATCCATCAGGGTAGCATATTTCATTGGAAACATCAACCTTAGCAATAGGTGCAACATTAACTAGAGGCTTTACCTTAGCTTCAATTCTTGTATCATTATCACCATTCTGTACATCATTATACTCTAAATTATTATCGCGTTCAATGAGATTCTCCGTTGTTTCTGTTTCCATGTCTTCATCTTCCTCCTCCTCATCCTCATCTTCATTATCATTTTCACCCTCATGAATATCGTTTTGCATTTCGTCATGAATTTCTTTAGCTATATTATGGTGTGATGTATCTGGCTCATAGTCATCTTCAGATTCTTTTGTATCGTCTGCTTGTTCATAGTCATTATTAGGACTAGGCGAATAATGATCGCTCTGTGTCCTTTTGTCATATGAATTATCATCTTCTTCTCCACTGAGGTTTCTGCTTTTGTAATAGTCTAATGGCTGAGATGATTGAGCCTTACTTGAATAACGATCAACTTGAGACTTATTGAACGTTTGACTGGAGTTTCCTGCCATGTAGGAAGACCTTGGTGGATAGTATGTATCACCTCTTTTACCGGTACTGACTAGGGAAGAGCTGCCGCTAAGTGAACCCTTCATCCTATCCTTGGCTGAAAAAGATCTGCTTCCTGCGGAACTTGGGAAAGAATTTCTATTATTTAAAGCTGGCTTGCCCGAATTATAATTACTCTTCCATTTGCTACCATTTTGTTCTGTTTGGTTGTATGTACCATATCTATCTTTTCTATACTCACCTGTCGATGTCGCAGATAATGGCTTCGAATTATTTGCGGCCCCATTTGAAAGTCTACCATTGTATGATGATGCTGACAATGATAATGGTTTAGATGATGTGAGTCTCGAATCTCCAGAAGAACTAGTTCTATCTCCCCTCCAATTATCTCCTCTCGAGTTATAGAAATTTGACGAGTTATTCGACAGATATTCTCCATTCTTACCACTAAAATTTCCATAATTTCCGTATCCTGAATAATAAGAACTAGAATTTTGATTATAAGATGAATAAGCACCCTTAGATGAACCGTAAGAACCATAAGAGCTTCTATTATCTCGTACGTTAGGCCCAAAACTTCGTGATAGCGAATTTGACCCGCTGCTTCCTCCATATCTTGCTCTTCCACCACTTGAATAGTGCGCATCGCTAGGTGCTATGTTGCCATCACTAGATTTATTTGGCAATTTAGATCTTGTTAATGATGACGACCCCGGGCCTCCTCTTCTAGACGACCCACTATAAAAATTTTTTCTCCTTTGCTTGTTATAATCATACTCTCCTCTATCACTATATCGATTGATAGGTGGCCCTCTAGACCCAGAGGATGACATTTTACCTATTTCTTCTTAGTTGATAGTTCGAGGTAACTGTATTCACCAATATTCTAATTCGCTTAAAATTCTATAGAATAATGAGTATTAACCTCTGATATTAAAAGTAATCACTAATATAATATTCACTTTAATAATAAATTCCTAGGTCACAAAATATTTTCTCTAATATCCCATTCCAAATAGAATAGCGAATTATCACTTTGTTATTAACCGCTAACTATAATACTTGTTGTTATACGTATAATTATAAACCTATAATTTCTTAAGTGCGCCAGTTAAACATTTTAAAGATTTTTTTGGTTTTGTGTTACCAAGTAATTTATGAGTAAGGCACTCATCAGGATAGTATAGATGGTATAAGGAGAAGTCTACGTAACTATATACCATGCTAACTTTTTGCTAGCAAATACAGTTGTAGAACAGAATAAGGCTTTATGAAAGAGTGTGAATTACGATATTAAATATATATTAAATGCATTAATGTGTTATATAACTCTATAATTAATTGTTACCATGCAACACTTTCTTCAAAACACCAATGTCGCCTATTGACTTTAGTAAATCATCGTATGGAACATTAGGTCTGATGTTTTTGTTACCAATCTCCATACTTGTCTTCATGGATTTTGTTTCGGATAAATTGACGACCGAGCCAGCTTCCAAAGCACCTATGATTTCCAAGAACTCACCTTTTTTTAGCCTCCCCAATAATTTATCGACGTTTTCAAGCGAATGCTTTACGTAGAAGTCATAAAAAGTATTGACGGTAAGGTCCTTTCTGGTGGTTGTTGTAAAAGTGACGTTGATTTGGTAGTTGAATAAACAGCATAATACTGCTTTTTGTAATAAGTTAAGGTTATGCAACTTGGTCAACGAGTTGTCCTTGTATGAGTTTTCACATATCTTTGCAATGTGGGAAATTAAGACTTTGGGGGCAGTATGAAAGGTATGTGTTGCTGACGGATTCGCTTCTCTAACGTTGTGCTCGACCATTTCTATACTTTTGTAGCAGATGTCGAATGCTTTACGAAGGTCACCGGTAACGGATGCAGATTTCTTACAACAGAGCTGTATGGCAGCCGGATGTATAATTGGGATTGATGCCATAGGTGGCTCATTTTCTTTAGTTGATTCGTCCCAGACTAAAGACTTCAATTTGGTAATGATGATAGTTTTGATTTGGTCAGATGTATAAGGCATGAATTGTAATGCTTGTGGGTTTAAGCAGTTTCGTTTCAATCTGGGCAAAAATTTGTCGGTAAGATCTAAGGCGTTAGAAATACCTATGAGAACCAACTTGTTTTTCAAGATGTGAGACTTTTGCTTCGATGCAAAATTAAATAATTGGAATAATACTTGTTGATCTTTGGTAATTAAGTAATCCATCTCGTCAAGTAATAAGATTGTAGTGTCGATATCGCCTTTAGTTGTAAGTAACAGGAATACATCATCGGCAGTCTTCCTTTTGTTGTACGACTTCTTAGGTTGTCCTTCACGCGATTCCATAGCACAGTATATTTCATGAAACACGTTTTCAGGTTTAGAGATGGACATACAGTTCATCTTTACCAATCTAGCTCTATGCAGACCCACCTGTGAGACATTAACACTAACTGATTTTCCAATTTCTTTCATTACATGATTCAACGATATTTCTATTTGCGCCGTTTTACCAGTTCCAGGAGGACCTGAAATATATAAACTGTCGGAAGTATTATTGTTGATATTATCTACGAGAAACTTGTTCAAAATCTCAGCTTCCTCATCTCTTGCAGTTAAATGTGTGGTATTGATGCCGTCATTATTAGCGCTTCTCTGGAATAATGCCTTCGCTTTTGAATATACTGATGTACCTCTTCCTTTGGTAGGTGTGCTTGGTGGGGTTAAGAACTTGAGCTGTCGAACACCCTCTTTGTTTGAATTCAATTCATGGGATATGTCAATCACTCGTTCTTTCTCCGGAGTCACTGGTGGTGATTGAAGCATAATATTTGATCTGTCCGAAAGCACATTGGATTTGTTAATTGCACCCTTTCCACTTCTTTTAGCCAAAGGAAAATCAATGTCCTGTAATGGCCTTTTCATCCCACTTCTTACTTGCATTCTTTTTCAATTGCTTCTAGTTCAAATCACCTTAAATCAAAGTGGTCTTCGTCTGCTATATATAATTTTCAGGTTCTACGCGTTTCTCGAGTGCCTAATTAATCCCCATTAGGCAATGTAATTGAAAATCGCGATTTCCGTGTATGACTTCCAAAATAGGCAGCTAGTGCATTTCGCGATACTATTATTTATATCAACCATTATATCAACTTGGAATATAGAATAATTCAAATACGCCATGAAGTATATTCCGACGTCATTTAGTGGCAGAAAACATGCTCGATATCTGATATATTGCTTGTTTGAAAATAACGCCTGTGAATAAACACATATTTCTATTTATCTATCTGAGTTTCCTCATACTCCTTTAATACATTAGTCAATATATCATTCTTCCTGGTAACCATGTACAAGTCAGCCGGTTTGATAGTGGATCTCCCGGCATGGTTTGCGAAAAGCTCTAAGTCTTCCCCAAGGTTCAAAAGCTGATTATAGACCAATTCCACAAGCGACGCTACAAACGTTGGTGTCGCAGAGATATCTTTGTCAATATGGGTTAAATCCTGTTCCACCATTTTGGAAACCATTAAGTAGATAGCAGATTTCAATTGGGACACTGTATCCGGGTCCACCTCTGTTACTGGAGCCATATTTTCGCTTAATTTAACGATGTTCTGAAGTTGTTTTTTTATTAGGCCGGTTTTTCTCTTAACGGCCGAAAATGTCGCTCGTTATTGTGCCCCGTAAATTAATCCACGAAATCTTCAGATCTCTTGTAACAATAACTGAATATTATAATTGACGCTTAGTACATACGATCGTTGTGGAGATCATTTGTGCGTCATTATATACTTCTACTCATATTTTTGTCGGCTTGCATTCGTTGTAAATATTTAAGTCAATAATTTGTTAGGATACTCGATTACATCCGTTTGAGAAAACAAGTTTTCTAATAGCGTTGTTCCTTAGGTAAGACGTATTTGAAGATTTCGAATATAATTTAAAGCATACTGTTAAACTCCCTACCCGAGTCACTATTCAAAAGAATTAATACATCTAATTAGAAATAGTTTTAAAGTATAAAACAAGACTAAGCATAAAGTTATTGACTTAAATGAACAAATAGTATGGGATCTAAAATTAAAAAAGGATTATCATATGTTTTGGGAGATTCCAATGATAATGAGAATCATATCTTGCCCATTAATGCCATTCAATATTCTGCGGTAACAAATAATTTTTACACGGGTGGTAGAGATGGTACAGTGAAAACGTGGTGTTGTAGAAACGGCTGGGAGCATTCAAGACAAGGCACACCAAGTCAATTTAATTTCAATGAAACATTTGAGGATTCAGATAATAGAGATGTAGATGTTGATCAAGATATAGATGAACGAGTTTTGAAGCTTGAAACTGCAATTTCGTCAAATCCTCTACCATACTGTACTACACCTTATGATGACTATAACATTACTAATAATTATAATATTCACTTTGACTGGATTAATGATTTGAAACTTGTGAACAATGATAGGGATTTAGTTTCGTGTTCATCTGACTTGTCGTTAAAATTGATTAATTTGCATAATTCTGACACCTCAGAAAAGACCCATGTCCATAAATTCCCTAATGTTCATACTGATTATATCAAGAAATTATCATATTTTGTGCCAGAGAACAATATAGTAAGTGGTGGGTTAGATGGAAAAGTTGTTCTTTGGGATTTAGCAACGTTAAACCCAATTCAAGAAATTCAAACTCACAGTCTGAATACTGCATTACCTAATTCCATCTATTCCTTAGCAAATAATAATTCAAATTTGATAAGTACTGGTGGGCCAAGTAATACCATAAATTTATATGATAAGAGATTATCGAATAATTCAAACAACATTAAAAAGTTAATCGGTCATCAAGATAATATAAGATGCCTCTTAATGAATGATAATTTTATTTTGAGTGGTTCTTCTGATACTACAATTAAATTATGGGATTTAAGAAATTTCAAGGTTTACAAGAATTTTGATATCCATGATGACGCAGTGTGGAGTTTAAGTACTTCTATATCTTCTTCCCCGGGAATGCTAAATCAATGCGATGACTACTATAACACCGATTTCAAAGTTTTTTATTCTGGTGATAAAGGGGGTAAAATCGTAAAGACTGATTTATCATATTTGTCTACAAATATAAGAAAAGACGGTTTTGACACTTTTACTGGTTCAGATGACTTGATGGATGAAAAACTAGGCGTGTCGACTATTATCGCCAAAACAAATTCACCTGTAATTTCATTATGCTGTGAAACAGATGTACAACCAAATTCTATCCTTTCTTCAAATACAATTTTAGCATCCACAGAACTGTCCTTAAACAGATATATCGTTCCAGATACTGATCAATTGTCCAAATACCAATATTCTAGGAACTGCTTGGACTATGTTTTGAACCATGACAATCATATGAATGATGAATTAACTTCGGGATTAGGGGATGTTGCCGCTGATCAAAATGATTTAAATTCAGACTTTTATGACATTGTAAGTCATTTGTCTATCGATACGAATAATTTCGATATTCAATCCTCATTTTCGGGAAATAATTATCCATTGTCAGTGCATAATGTTGAGAATAATAATGAAGTAGTTGATGCAAATGAGTATAATTCTATGTTCCTCAACACTGGTGGTGGACCGTCTACTGAGTTCGTCAATACATACAAGGAAGGATTATCATCTAAAGACGCACTGAATGACCTGACGACTGTGGATAATACTCCTGTTGAAATTTTATTGAACCCAATTCCATCTGAACAAATTACCCAAGTTCCATTTAATACGGAACCCTATACCATGTTTCCATTGATTCGAAAAAGTATTATTGCAAAAAGACTATTTAATAATAGAAGGCACATACTTGTATTGTACTTAAACGGAGATTTAAAAATTTGGGATATATTTGCCTGTGCAGAGATTAAAACATTTCCATATGAGTCTTCCACATCTACTGAATTAACAAAGGATTTAATAGAAGATAGACTGAAAGAAATGGAGAACATTTTTCATAAATACCAAACCGAAGATACATTAAATACGTGGTGTGAAGTGGACATCAAATCAGGAAAACTATTGGTCACCTTAAAGGAATCCATGTTTAACAACGTAGAAGCTTATTATGACGAGTTATGCAAGTCTTATCCTTATTTGTCTTACAGACATCCAGATAATATCGAAGGATTGAAAAATAAAGAAGTTAAACCCACAATTGATGATAGATTGCCGCTTGCAAAAATCTTGATAAACTCTTTTTTTCATCAATATGCCATCTATGAATGGGAATTCGACAACCAATTACGAGAGGAATTAAAGGCGTACAAAAGAGACAATCGGAAAATTCCTCTTTCATCATCATATGAAAGATTTACAAATGATCGCTCAGTTGCTATAACAAGTAACTCTTCCATTTCGAATGCTAGTTCTGTAGATGGATCTAGTTTCACTAATACTGCCAAAAGAATAAAAATGTTTACTAAGAAGTCGTCCAAGAACAATATTCATCAAGATGATAGGCAGACTCTCGCTTCAGCCAGCTCTGTTGCCAGCAGCGTAACTGACTTTCCTACTAGCATAAATGGCTCCTCACTCATGTCAAATTTTATCAACAACGATGGCCTCATATCAATATCACAGGATTCTTCAAACGAAGACTCAATAATGAGCATGTTGCAGTATAACAAAAAGAGATACTGGGAAAAGTATGGATCTTATGGTACCAACAAAACCGTGGACTCCATACTTAGAATATATTCAAATGATCCCAAGTATAGCATGCCAGACGATAACAACGAATACAGACCGCTCTTTTACCCTCACAGACTTCCTTCGAACTTGCTAATTATCATATTTGAGCACTCGCCTGAATTAGGTAACATGAGGGACTTATGCAGTTTCCACTTAGAAGACATTATCAAGCTTCTGAACGATTCATACACCAATGAGCCTTTAATTAATGACTTGAGAAACTATTTGCCTGTATGGATAGGAAGACCAGTTTTATACAGTAAGTTCCCAATAAAGGAAAACCCAAAAATTGAGTTCAAACTACAAGAAGTTGATTACACATTATTACCACCCAATACGACCATTGGAGGTAAATCACAAAAAAAAATCAAGCGCTTACCTATGACGGACAGCGTAATCAAATTGACATCGCACAATATGTTACGGGTTCTGAAGATTCTTACGTACCTTACTGAACGCTTTGATGGTCGTACCCCAGAAATGAAAGATATGAAGAACCCATCAGAGTGGTTGGCTCTTGAATGTAAGGGTCAAGAGATGCCTAACAATTTTACTTTACAAACAATCAAAACAAAAATTTGGAAAAGCAGTTCCGAAATCGAATTGAGATTTAGACGGAAGTTCGACTAGGCCTCTATCCACTAGTATTACTCTCTACATAGACTAGTTCTAACAAGATAGATTTAGATTTGAATAGATATGGACTTCTAATAAAATAATCGTCACGTGATGAGATTTTTTTTTCACGAAATTTGATGAAGTGGAAATATGCCATCTAGTGTATAGTTAGTGAAGGTAAGCTTTTAGTACTACATAAATACAGAATCTGTATCAACTATTAAACATGGAGGACACTGATAGAACTATCTCCCGTTTATGGAGATCATTTAAAACTGTAAAGGAAATGGTCAGAGACAGAGTATGTATATGAGATGGATTTGTTTGTATTGAGTGTAAAGAAGTATACTAATATTAAATAGGGATATTATATCACACAAGAAGAAATTGATATGTCATTAGCTGAATTCAGATCCAGAATTTGTGATAGTATGAACGTTCCACAAAGAAAGTTGATGTGTTTCCAAGCAAACCCAACTGCTGAATCATTAGAGAAATTTCCAGATTTAGGATCATTATGGGTTGAATTCTGTGATGAAGCTTCGGTTGGTATTAAAACCATGAGAAACTTCTGTATCCACATTAGTGAAAAGAACTTCAGTACAGGTATCTTCATTTATCAATCATCCATTACTCCAAGTGCCAACAAGTTGATTCCTACTGTGTCACCAGCGTCGATTGAGACTTTCCAGGAAGGTGATTTAGTGGTCAATATTACCCATCACGAGTTGGTTCCAAAGCATATCAAGTTAGCCAGAGACGAGAAGAAAGAATTGTTAGAGAGATATAGATTGAAGGAATCACAATTACCTAGAATCCAAAGAGAAGACCCAGTTGCCAGGTACTTGGGATTGAAGAGAGGTGAAGTAGTCAAAATCATTAGGAGATCTGAAACTTCGGGTCGTTACGCTTCCTATAGAATTTGTTTGTAAGGTTATGTGCCTATTTTAATTGTTTTTATCATCGTTACTTTAATTTGGTTCAGAGAATTATTTGAATAGCATTAAGTAGTTTTGTAATATAGTTTTATTCGTAAAGTATTTGAATCTATGTAAGTCTAGCGCACAATACGCTATCCTGGATGCCTTGCCACCACTTGACGTCAATTAAATCAGCGTGTCCTGGAGGACTCACTTCTACTCCATCTTTACCCAAGAATACTGGGCCTATTGTAATGATCAAGCTATCAACAATCTCGTTATAAATTAACAAGTCATTAATAATACTTGCCCCACCTTCAACCATAAGAGACTTAATACCCAATTGGAATAATTTTGCCAATATAACTTTCCAGTTGTCAACTCGTTTTGAACTCCTAGCTAAGGGAAGCTTGACATACGCCCCACCTTGTTTCTCTATAATTTTCACATCCTCATTTCTAGGGGTCACCGTATCATCTATAAGAATAAACGGAGCAAGTCCCTTATTATCGTCACATACAGAGCGCAATTGCGATTTATTGTATACCCACTTCCCTGTGGGATCTAAGATAATAGGTCTCGGTGTGGAAACATGTCCATCTTCAGCTTCGAAACGGCAATTCAATTTTGGATCATCGGCTAAAACAGTACCTATTCCCACCATTATACCATCATGCTTAGAACGAATATAATGCGTCATTGTTTTCGTTTCTAGGTGTGATATTTTGGTCTGTTCGCCAGGTTTAGCAGCTATACGGGAATCTAATGATTGTGCATATGTAAGTGTCACAAAGGGTCTGTTAGAGCCTGGTCTTGGGAGATACTCCTCAAGAAATGGCTTCAATGATGGTGCAAGTGGTAAAAGTGACATATATGTTCTATCCTTATCTATATTGGAAAATATATTATGAACATCAACTTGATCTCCGATCGATTTTCAATGCGATCGGACTATAAGCGAATTAGAGCACATACAATTTTGATTACTACCCCAGACCTGCTGCTACACGTTATGGTATATATATCATAGCCTGTTTAACCAGGTCCTACTTGTGTCATTAATCGTACTCTATATATATCTAGTTAAATTTCAATTTTGTGGGTCTAGAATGATCCTTAGCATTATCATCGTCGTTATCATCATCACCAACATGTTCATACGTTCTTTTCAATAACCTGTTGATATCCTCATTATCATTAAAAAAAGCTCCTTTGTGATAGTTCTTCGGCTTTGTCGAAGTCAGTAAGTCTTCCTCGTGCTGTCTTTTCTTGAAATCCTCTATCAATTCTTGTTCCGTCAAGTTACCACGTCTCACTATCTCGTCCTTCATCTCTTCCTCTTGCACCATGACTTCCCTGTCTCGTGCGTATCTGTCCTTTTCTCGTATTCTCCACTCTTGATACTCCCTTTCGGGGTATATATCATCGGTATCATCTATGCCATCGAACTCATCGCCATCAGCTTTCTCTATTTTCACCTCGTGGCTTGCCTTGTTCAATGTTATTTCTTTTTTCCTATCCACATCTTCCGTGTCTTTATTAATTGGAACTTCTGTTTGTGAGCTCCTATTTGTGCTGGCCTTCGGCTTGCCATTTTGTTTTTCATGTGATTTTCTCTGCTTTCTAGATACAAATATCGGTTTCAAAACAACTTCTTCGCTAGAAGATGACTCGTAAGATTCGGCATCTGAACCACTGGTATCACTAGATGACTCCCTGTCAGTCATGTTCAATTTTCTTTTGTTTTCCCCTATTAATTCATAGAACAAAGGTTCATTAACTAAGCTGGGGACGGCGCTGGTTTTTTTCAGCGCGTTTTATCAGTCTAATTTTTTCATCAACAAACATAACAAAAATACGTCTCTTTTCTATATAAAATAGTTGACATCTTAAGAAATATTAACTAAAGACACATATCAAATAGTATAAATGACTGCTATTCAAATTCCAAGTTTCGATGTCCCGTTTGGGATAAAATTATGGCCTCTTTTTGATGCTGCTGTAACAAAGGTCAGTCAAGGTAAGTTTATTCCATCACAATTTGCCTTTGTTCACGGAGAATTACCTTTTTCTACATTCCCACCAGTATTCTTTATAATTAGTTTATATTATACAGTGATTTTTGGTGGAAACTATTTATTTAAGAAGTTTCAGATTAAGCCATTCGTGTTGAACGGATTATTTCAAATTCACAACTTGTTCTTGACTACTTTGTCATTCACTTTACTTATTTTAATGGCCGAACAGTTGATTCCTATGATTTACCACCATGGTTTATTCTTTGCTATCTGCCACCCACAAGCATGGACCCAGCAATTAGTTTGCTTGTACTACTTGAATTACTTGACCAAGTTCACTGAGTTTCTTGATACCGTATTTTTAGTGGTCAAGCAAAAGAAATTGACATTTTTACATACTTACCACCATGGTGCTACTGCCCTTTTATGTTATACCCAATTAATTGGTTTGACTCCAATTTCGTGGGTTCCAATCACCCTTAACTTGGGTGTTCACTGTGTGATGTACTGGTACTACTTTTTGGCTGCAAGAGGTATCAGAGTTTGGTGGAAGGAATGGGTCACTAGATTTCAAATTATCCAATTTGTTTTGGATTTGGGCTTTGTTTATTTTGCAACCTATCAAAAGATCGTTTACACTCATTTCTCGGCTCTCAAACACATCTTGCCAGTTTGTGGTGATTGTGCTGGTACTATGTTAGCAGCTTACTCAGGATGTGCTATTTTATCATCATACTTAGTCTTATTTATTGCTTTCTATATGGAAGTTTACAAGAAGAAGTCAAAGAAGTCAAAGAAAATAAAGGCTGTTCAAGGCGGTGTTGCTGCTCAAGTTAATGAATACGTTCATGCAACTGGTAGAAATGATACCCCAACACCTGTTCCAGAGTCGGAAATTCGTTCTAGAAAGATTGCTTAAATGTTTTTTGCACATGCTCAATTTTAGACATCTACCTTGATACGATTTAGACATGGGCTACTCTTGCTGGTATCCAGCTGAGTATGTTTGCATGTAAATGACCTTATATATCAATTAGAACTCAAGTATATTTATATTATATATGTTTGTAATGAATATTCATATGTATTTAGTGATTTCCTCTAAAGTTGGAATACTTTCTGCAGCTCCCTTCTTTTGAATAACTAAGCTACTTGCTTTAGTTGCAAATTCAACAGCCTTTTCAAGACTCGACCCATTAGCTAATTGCAGAACAACTCCACCAAAAAATGTATCGCCTGCACCAGTAGTATCGACAACGTTGGCAACTTTTTCAGATTTGACGAATGTGGGTTTAGTATTTCTAGAAGTGAACATTGACCCCTTACTTCCCATAGTTATTATAACCGTACTTACGTTTTCTGGGTTGACTAATTCCTGTAACTTATTTGCCAAGTCGCTAAAACCTTTTACCTTGTCTTGCTTGATAGTTTTGTTGAACTCAGCATTTTGATCTTGCGTTAGTAATTTGGATGCAACACTCAAAGCTTCTCCTTCATTCATAATTAAGAAGTCAATTTTAGACCAAAAGTCCTGATTGATAAATTCAGGCTTAAAAGGAGAAGGATTGTAAGCAATATTAATTTTTGGACGGTTCGCCTTAAGCCAATCAATAGATTTCACGGTATCAGGGTATTCATTCTGTAAGATAACGAATTGAGTTCCCTCGACATCTTTTGGAAAATATGTTTCATATTCCTCGTTAGTTGGACATAATTCTCCATTGGCACCAGCAGTAATTAAGATTCTATTCTCGCCGCTGTCTTCTTCGACAATAATCACCGCTACCCCAGAAGATTGATGTTCTAAAGTTTTAACATATTCCGTATCAACCCCAGAATCAACTAATGCCTGTTTTAATTCTTTACCAAAAGAGTCGTTACCCACATTACCAACCATACGAATTTGGCAATTGGATTGTTTTCCTGATAGTCTGGAAGTTGCAATAGCTTCATTAAGACCTTTACCACCAAGATGATTTTCGAAAGAGTTTGCTTGGTAAGTTTCACCACCTTCCGGAACTGCTTTGGTGTAAGTGACCAAATCGTAATTTAATGACCCAATGATTGTAATAGTACTAGATGTCATTTCTATTATATCTTTGATTCATAAATACTGAAGCCCTTTCAATGGAAATATATCTCTACTGCTTTTCTCGTACGTACGAGAAATTCGGGAAGATTTTCGTGTCTGAGAACAAGCTACAGCTCTGAATATGTGGAAAGGTAATAAATTTACTACATAGATAAACTCTAACTACGTATAACTAAAATCAGTTCAGCTTTCCAAGTCTCTTTAATCTCATCTTTTCAGCGAAAGTCAAAGGTGCGCTAGGCTTTTCTTGTGCTGGAGCTGGTGCAGGTTCTGGAGCAGCTGGTTTAGTGGCTTGATTAGCCATTTCTTGTCTTCTTCTTAATGATTCAGAATCTTTTTCTTTTTGAAGTCTAAGTTCTTCCTTGAACTTATCCATTTCTTCTTGGCGCATTCTCTTTATTTCAGCTTCTTCGGCTTCTTTACGTTCGTATTCACGTCTTTCCATTAACTCTTCAATACGTTGGTGCTTGACACGTTCAATACGTTCTCTCTTTGCCTGTTCAAAAGCAGCTTGAGCTTCTTTTCTTAATTCAGCTAATTTACTTGAATGCTTTTCGTCAATCATTTTCTTAAATGGCTCGAAGTCTGGAATAATACGTTGTAAACGCTCTCTCAATGCCAAGGATTCTTCGTGTTCTTTCTTAGCTTTACTGATCTTAAGTTGCTTTAAAGATTCGTAATTCTTGATATCTTCCTCCTTTTGCTTTTCAGCATCCTTTTCTAAGTATTGTAATTCATAACGTCTGAATGCTCTTTCAGTATGATCGTTCTTCTTGGACAAAACCTTCAAACGTTCTTCTAAGTTTTTCTTATCCTTATTCAACTGTTCGATTTGCATGGTTCTCAATTTTTCGGTGTCTAAATCGTCTAAGTTATTCAAGTCAAGCTTGATAATACCCTTTGCGTTAATTTCTTCAGCAATTTTCAATTTTTCTTTTTCCTTGACCAATTGCCTTTCTCTTTCTAACTTCTCTAAGTTTCTTCTTTCTTGTTCAGCTAATATTCTTTCTTGTTCAGCCTTTTGTTCAGCAATAGTGGCCTCTTGTCTTAATCTGGCAGCTTCCTCTTCTTGTTGACGCTTAGCTTTGTCAGCGATACGCTTACGTTCTTCCATAACATTGACACGATCAGCAATTTCTTGTTGTTCTCTTGCCATATCAGCAATAGCATTCTTCAAAGCTTCTTCACGGGTCTTTTGGATACGGACCTCATATTCTGGGTCAATAACCTTGGCGGACGAAGACAAAGTCTGAGCCAACTTAGATAATTGAGATCTAACTAATTCAGATGGAGATATTTGTAATTTGGAGCTTGATGAATCAGTAAAAGCGTCTTCAAATGGCTTAGATTTCAATGTGACAACGTCGGTCTCATGGTCAATAGTCAATGATAAGTAGCCATCTTTGACACCATTAACGATTAAGTTTTCAACTTCTAATGCGCTTAAAGAAAATTCAGTGCCTTCAATGATACCCAAGGAAACTAAGAAATCCAATTTAACAGTTTCATAGACTTGGGAAACTTGTTGGTATAATCTGATCAAGATTGCTTCAGTTAAAGTTGGGATATATTGCTTGTAGTTCTTGTCTGATTGAATAACTTGGAAAACTTCTGAAACCTTTTTCTTGATGGTTAATGGGTGGAATTCATCTTCTTCTAAGACAGTAAATAATTGCTTCACTGCTGGATCGACAAAACTTAAAATGGATCTACTGACAATAGACTTCAATAAAGTGTCTCTAGTTGGGACTTGGTTCAAGTTCAATAATGAAGTTAATTTAGCATTCTTAGCCTTATGATCATCAACAACAGTTTCATTACTGTTAAGAGATTTTTGGGGAACAGATAAGGTGGCTAAAACAAGGATAGAAGCATAATGACTTAATTCGTCATCGGTGGCATTTGGAGATTGGCAGTACAAGTTGAAAAATTTGTTCCAGGCAGCAGCGTGGTACAAAGAATTACCTGAAACAGCAAAGATTCTACCTAAGTTTTCATAGTAGTTAGCCATCATGACTGGTCTTGGAGCCTTCTTAGAGGCGGTAATCAAGGTGTGAACGTCATCGACAGAACGGAAAGATTCCTGCCATAATTCTAATTTGACAGAAATATTCAATTGAGCAAAACGTTGATCCAAGTAACGTTGAACTGTTTCAGAATCAGATAAGTCGATAGCATTCATATTTCCAACTGGTTTGATTTGGGTGGTGACAGACTGCATGTGTCCTCTTAATAATTCACATAATCTTCTGAATTCAGCCTTTCTATTGAACTTCAAACAGAATTGGAATGCTTGATTAACGATAGCTGAGTAGGTCACTTCCAACTTGGAGTTATTTCTCAATATATCCAAAACTGCTCTTAAAGCTTCCCACAAAAATCTCAACCATGGGTTGACCAATTCACGTTCAGTACGGTCAGCGGAATCAGCATTTGAGACTGCCGATAATAAAATGCTTTCTGGAGTCTGTGCTGCTTCTAAGTCTTCGTCTTCTTCTTGGTCAATCTTGACATCTGCCTTAGCTTGGGCTTCTTCTAACTTCTTTTCGGCTAATTCGATGAATTTACGAACAATAACTTGCACGGATTCAAGACCATTTTCAGACATTTGGACGTTCTTTTTATATTGATGTAAAGCATCCTTGGCTAATTTACCCTTTCTTAAGTCAACAGCTAACTCGATAAGTAACAAAGCAATTGGTTCTAAATCTTGAACTGCTAAGTAACGAATTCTCTTGGATGTGATTAATTCGTACAATGTTTCCAAAGCTGCATCTCTTTGGTCAACAGCAATCAAATCTTCAGCACGCTTTAACACATTTTCCGGACGGAAATTGTGATGTCTATGAGGTGGAGCCATGTTTTTACTATCTACCTCTAGTTGATGATATAGATATCGTTATATATTGGCCTTAAAGATTTTTCAAATCAACATCGTGCTCCAAAAAAAATTTCATCGACAGCGGTCGTGTGATGATAAAATTTCTTTACAGTATCTTCTTAATAGACATGGATAACTATTAAATAAGTATAATATACACGGGTAAGACCGTTTCATGAGGAACTGGGCGGCATCATGAACATTCAATCTATATAACTCTCAACTTTTTGAGGTCTAAATTCTAACTAAAAGGGAGGAAACTTCTCTTCCATTTGAGGAATTGATTCAGCAAGTTTGTTCTTGTCAATCAAGATTAAGCTCAATTTAGGATCGATTCCGTAATCAGTGAATACTCTTCTTGAATCTGTATCTTGCTTGGCATCATTGTAGTCATAAGTAGCAAAATATTTAGCATTTTCTTCCAAAATTATGTCTTCATAATGAAAGTAGTCCATTTCTACTGGGACCGGTTCATTGGTAGCAACCTTCTTCTTCTTTGACTTTTGGGGAGCTTCCTCGTCCTGAATCTTTGCAGACACAAGCTTGTAGACTTTGGAAATGACTAAAAAGTAGTCAAATTCGTATTTCTCGTGAGCGTCGTCTGCTTTGGTCATTTCTTCCAATAACATCTTATACATAGGAGGAACAACTTCTACCGGCATGTTTATCATTCTTTCACTGATAATCAAACCTACCTTTAACGATTTAGATGATGCGGAGGAATTTTGGTCCTTAGCTTCTAACAATTTCCTCAACATTAAGTTGAACTCCAAATTCTTGCCGGTTTTTTGAAGAACATAATCAACTAAAGTTTTGATACATGGCTTATTGATGTTTTCCGACATGTTTATTACCGACAAAACTGCAAATGGATCACTTTCGATTCCTTCGGTCTTAATAGTCGTACCAACAGCATTCTTAGTCAAAACCAAATCAGCCAACGAAGAAATATCAAATGTTGAGGCATCATCTCCAAACAATTGACGAAGGAAATTCTTAATTGCATGGAAATCAACTTCAGGATTTAAATCAAAGTAATCAAAATCGACATTGATTATATCTTCACCTTCTTCTCCCTGTTGCTGTTCTTCTTCCAATTCATTTTCTGAATCTGTGGAACTAACATCGATGTCAGAATCTTCCGGTTCGTCTGCTCTTCTCTTTGCCATTATATCAGGTGTATGATTAATGAATTATATCAACTGAAAGATTAGTAAATTTCAACTTTTTTCAGAAGTTGCGATGACATAATTTTGTGCCATCGCATAAGCTGATTACATTCTTATTATCATTATCCACTTAATATACTGTGTTAATGTCATTAGTTCAAGGATATTCGTCAGGTTCCGACAGTGGAGAAGAATTGCCTAAAATACCTGTTTTGCCTAAAGATTCGAAGTATAAAATAGTATCAGTACCGAATGTTGATATTTCAGCCCACGAATTAGTACCAATTAATAATAGTCAAGAAACAAGTCACAAAGAAACACGAAATTTCGGTGGTGGTATAGAAGAAAACTACTATGATAATGCCACATGGAAGCTTCAATCTATGAAAGGTAAAAGGAAACTGGATAATTCTTCAAAACAAGAATCAAAAAAATTGAGAAAGAAGAGACGTAAGCAAGGGGATCCTAAAGATATTGATTATTTAGGTCCGTGGGCCGATTATAAGGATACTTCCGAGTCTGATGCATCTATTTCTGAAGTTAATGGATCAGAAACAGATGACAATGTGAATGAAGAAGAAGCGGATCAGGATGCAAATAACGAAGAATCTGAACCAAAGGTTTTTACCGAATTTTTTGGGCTGAAGGAAAAGGATTATTTAGGCAGAACATACATGCACGTACCAAGGGATCTTAATGTTAGTTTAACAAATGAACCGGGATCGCAGGAATGTTTTGTTCCGAAGAAAATTATTCATACGTTCGGAGGACATGCAAAAGGTGTTAATAAATTGGAATATTTTCCAAATTCTGGTCATTTGTTATTATCATGCGGTAACGATGGTAAAATTATGCTATGGGATCTTTATCATAAGAGGGAATTGTTAAGAGGTTATTATGGTCATAGCCTTGCTGTCAAGGATGTAACTTTCAGTGGAACGGGGAAAACCTTTTTGAGTTGTTCATTTGATAAAAAGGTAATACTTTGGAATACGGAAACTGGGAATATTGAAAAGACTATTAAATTGAAGGCAATTCCTAACGTCATTAAATTTAATCCTAATAATGAAAATGAATTCATTGTTGGGTTAACCAATCATAAAATTGAGCATTACGACTTGAGCATACCTAACTTTGAAATACCAATACAAACATACGATCACCATCTAGGGGCTATTAATTCTTTGACCATAATTGACAATAACAATAGATTTATGTCTACGTCTGATGATAAAACCGTAAGATTCTGGGATTGGCAAATTAATATACCAATCAAATTTATATCTGATCCTTCACAACATTCGATGCCATCAGCAGTTATGTATCCCGGAGGAAAATACATAGCGCTCCAAAGTATGGATAATTCAATACAGGTGATTCAAGGGCATGGTAAGTTTAAATTTAACAAAAATAAATGGTTCGATGGTCACAACGTAGCAGGCTATGGTATTGATGTGGAAATTTCACCTGATGGTAAAATTATTATGAGTGGTGATTCAAAAGGTTTCGGATATTTCTGGGATTGGAAAACCTGTAAATTAGTAAATAAGCTAAAGGTAAGTGATAAGCCTATTACATGCATAAAAGCTCATCCACAAGAGGCTAGCAAAGTTGCAATGGCTGGGATGAATGGGCGCATTTATTATTGTGATTAATGTTTATTATTTGATTATAGAAATCAGAAATATGTACTACATTATTATACATTTTTCCTTCTTGTATTCATCTCTCTTTCTTTTATGTTTTTTACCAAATAGTCTTGATTTCCTGTATTCATCTCCATCACTAACATCACCAGAAGAGTCATAGCGTTGCAGTAAATACGGCCGCAAATGATGCTTATGATTACTTTCGCCGGGAGTTGGGTTAGATTTCAATGAAGATTTGCTTGATGTATCATCAAAGTTAATAGAAGCAGCAGGCGTTTTCTTTTCAGAAATATCCTTATCTTCGGTTTTTGATTTCTTTGATTTTTTCCAATAAGAATTATTTCCAGAATTACCTGTTGAAGTCAAAGTTAATCTATTCATGTCATCCACCACATTATTAATTTCAGATGAAGCTTCTATTTTATTCGGTAATGGATTTATGCTACTAATATTAGATGTGTCACTCCATTGACTATTTCGGCGATAATAGGGACTCAAGCTCACAGATGTTTTCTGACTATTTTGCGATTGAATACATTCTTCTTTATAATAATTCTTATCTTTGTCAGTAACATACCAAAAATATTTATCTCTAATATCCACAAACCTTGGATCAGTTGGCGCTATATCTGGCATAGGCGTACTTGAAGTAGAACTTATAACACTTTGTTTCCTTGACGATAATGCAATATCATCAGAAGACGGCGTGGCAGAAATGATCGGCAGTAAATTTGTATGGTCTAACCATTGACCTTTTGCACCTTGAGGTACAACAATTTTTTTGATATTCTCATTAAGGTTTCTAGAGCGTATGCTGCCTCCGTCTAAGCTGCTTGCATTGTTATTGGAATCATCATTGGAAACTAATCTATAAAATAGCATGTAAGGCCATTCAGTATTAAAAATATCTTTAAAGGACTTTTCAACTACTCTCGATTTCTTCTTCATATCATCGTACAAGTACCAGGGAGCATTGTATGCTTCGTCATCAGTCTCATCAAGAATTTGAGTATTCTTACGGGTTACGGATATAAAATGACCCAGTGTAATCGTGGTTCCTTTATGGCACACCGCACTTTCTAAAATCAATTTAAAATCTCCGGCAGCATCATCATCATCATCATCGGCGATAAAGCGTGGAATATTAATGATAGGAGGAATAATAATCCGTTTTTGTGATCTTTGAGCCTTAGAATCATTATATGAATATCTTTTTAAACATATTGGTAAGATAGGTCTTCTATTAATAAACTCCTTGGAATTCTTTGCGATACTTTGAATGTTGCCATCTGCGGTATGCATTTCATTAATGTCGGTATAAAATGGTAATAATCTCAAAAACATCCATGCTGGTAAACTCACCTCTTTCGACGTAGATGTATCATTGTCATTTATAGACCATATAGAAAGGGTGGATGATCTAGTCCTTATACTTTGTCTAACACTATTTTTACTATCAGATCTAAATCTTCTATTTGTACCATTAGTTGAATTATAGTTTACTTGGTCGCCCACACTAGTGTCCTCCTGTATCGGTTGCGATCTAGAAATATCAGTAGTTACTCTGGACAAGTTGCGGTCAGATGCATTGGGTTGATAAGAGATTTCACCACCCGGGTTACTTTCTCTCCTTAAACTTTCTAACGTAGCTCTTCGTTCCAATTCTCGCTTGACACTTATTGAATTATTGAAATAATGCTCTAGACATTCTTCAAGTAAGATCCCATCTTCAGAATCAGAGGTGTCTGATGCTTGCAGTTTAGTATCTTCGTCATCTTCAGGTATACTCACGAAAAGAATTCTTTCATTAGAATACTTTTGATCATCTTTATCATGCTTTCCGCCATGTTTAATATCAATTTTGAATGTTAACATAGGCATTGATAACGTATCAGTTAAAAATTGAAATAATGCAGCTGAATCCTGCTGTTTGTGGGACATTGCTTCATGGAACCCAAGCTTCTTTAAAATTTCGCAAAGTCTTGTAGTCAAATCAGTTGTAATCAAGTTTCCAGAACGTATTAAACTGACATAAACTCTCAATATTGCTGCTAACTGATTTACATAAGTGTTTTCGTGGTTTGAAATGAACAATATTGGTTCAAAACTCTCTAAGCTGGAGAACATTGAGTATAACAACGCATCAAGATAGCACATCACATTTTCCCAATTCTCTGCCCCAACATACTGGATTGCACACCCCAATTTGTCACATGGTTCATTTGTCAAGAATAGCCCTTCGCTACTTAATTGGAAAAACCGAATTAGGTGAAAAGTCCTAATTATATCACCTTGAGAAAAGGGAGACTTTAACAAAGAAATGATTTCGTTCACCGACGGCACTGGTAACTTCAAGGCCTCAAAGTATCTTAATAAAGCAGTCACTGCTGAAGAGTTATGGTTATATTTTTTGGTATTATAGGACATACTATCCTTTTCTCCCGTTTCAATTTTGCCATAACTATCGACATATCTTTGCCAAAATGGTTCATCAAAAGCTGATTTCTCAACCTCTTGATTATGCTTTGAAGAATTATTGGATATCTTCTTTCTAAACATAAGAATATGATGCGTTTACAATGAGGCTGTTTCTCGTAGAAATAGCTTAGAACTCGATCTGTTGATGTTTTTTCTGTGTACTACATATTGCACAAAACATAACCCAAACACCTTAATAATTAATTATGACCATACACACATAAATACAGAAGTAAATGACAATCAAAACAATAGAATAGTCTATCCAAGACATTAAATTGTCCCAGTTATGTTTAATTCCCTCATTTTGATGAGTACATCATCAATTTTCTCATCTAGAGTACCGTTGATGTAATCTTGTCTCGTTTGAGCATCCAACTTTACTTGCAAGTTATTCAAATGATTGTAATTTTCGTTGAAAAACCTCAATTGCAACTTTACAAATGATTCAAACGATGGGTCTAAGAAAGGAATTCGAAGATCAATCAATTTTGGCAACTCATCTTTTAATTGATCATTTATAGTTTCATAAGAAGTCTCCAATTGGGTCAATTGGCTTTGAGATTGACTCAATTTGGCCTCGTACAGAGGATCTTCTCCTGGTTTTTCAATAAGCTTCCGCACCTTGTTCTTCATGGCATCATAATCGAGTTTCTTGTGGTTTCTCTTCTTTATGGCCTCATTGATCTCAATATAGTAGGAATTAAATCTCGCTATAGGATTAAGCACAGTTTGGTTGAATGGCTGTTCTAACTCGCCCACGGTATGGTCATTTAGAAGTTTCATTACGCCATAATATTCTTGACTTATACTTTTGTACTCTTTGTCCTCATTCTTATTAGACCCATAGAACTCACTCAATACTTCACTCACATTGACTTGAGCATTTGTTAATATCCTTAATGAGTCTAGATAATGCTTGAGTTCTTTCTGTAACTTGGTAGATGTAGACTCCATATACTTGAAACGCTTCTCTTCAAATTCATAGTCCTTATCGATTGTTTCCTCGATATGCCCAGTCTTTAACATTACTTGAGCACCAGCTCTATTAATAGCCTTTTTTATACCCGTCCAAGACATATTTCTACCTATAACTTGAACCTCATATGCTGTTGTATATATCAATGTATAGACAATGTTAAGTATATATATGATCTCAGTAATATATACTGATTACAAATGGTTTGAAAATTGTTTCACAATCGATATTCGAGAAGCCGGTCTTTCCAGAACCACAAATGAGGTTCAAAGTAAATAAGTGTATATTATAAATAAGGATTAAATAAAAATGTATAAGTAACAACAAGCATAAATTAAAGAATTGAATGGTAGATATTAACAAATGCTAAAATACAAACTTGTAAGCTCTAGTCCAAACACCAACTCTTAAGACCAGACCAACTCTCATGTATCTGCAGGTGAGTGCATTATCTGAGTTACAAATTTACCTGAATATCTTGTAATACATGCCACTATTAAAACATCGTTTCTTATAGATGTGGTCATAAGGTGGTTCAATATTACGTGGTTAGGAATCGACAAGTGATATGCCTCTTGATTTGAAGCGTAATATGAACTGTCTGCTCTTCTTAAAGGAGGTCTCTTTGAAGAATTGTTAGGGACTACAGAAGAAGTTTGGTAGTCATATGGGTATTGGCTAGATTGTATCTGCTGAACTTGCTGGTAATGTTGATGATCGGTGATTGTAGGTGGAACCATAGGAATGTTTTGAGCATGGTTTTGTTGTTGGTTAGATGACATCTTGTTTAACAACACATTGTTTAAATGTGCTGGTAATTGGGGTGGTTCCGGTAGCTCGTAGTCTGGACCTTTGCTCTTAAAGTAATCGTAATTCACAAACATTTCCGGAATTTCGCTCGAATAACTCAAGGCCGATTTTTGATAATCTGCCAAGAATGATGACGATAATTTTTCATGATAAGGCACGTACTTATTCGATTCGTTGGTTGTGGTGGAACAATCATCCGATTGCATGCGTTCGGCATAAGGTCTAGGTGCTACTAATTCTTCTACTGTTTGTGGTCCGATCGCAGGAGAAGGAGAATTTTCGGGCATGTATTCCACATGTTCAACATCCGGAAACGCTTCACTTTTACTCACCTTGGCTAAGAAGCTGTTCAGCTTCTTTCTGATTTTGTCTACTTCATACCTACCAGCAGTTTGAGTCTCGCCTTGTGAAAGTGACAGAATGATATTGGCATCATAATCTGAAGACGCACCAACATGATTTGGCTGGTTGTGTGAATGGTTGAAAAGATGAACTTCATCTAACACTTCAAACCAATTGAAAAATATCCCCTCATGGTCGGTGGCAGTAGGTAATTGGTCACTGACCCTATATTCGTTGTTTATTATATATAACAATTTGTGGACACCTAACGGTAATTTGATTGTAGTGACATATTCGTTCTCGTGTTGGGATGACTGCGATAAGTGGATAATATTCCTCCAATTCGAAAATGACCCGATTATCGATATCTTCAGAATGTTTTCTTTGTTTGAATTCACCCATTTAATTTCGACTGGGATACGTCTGCCATTCTTAGACTTGCTAGAAATATTGCTTTTACCCACTGGAGATGCAACATATGAATTCATGTTCACATCTTCAGCATTGGACGGTGCCACTGCAATCTTAGTAAAATCCACCTTGCTCAAGTTAGGAGTCGGTGTGTCACCCCTCTGGGGCATTGACAGACCACTCGATATCGAGTGGTCTTCGGACGTATCCATTGCGTCGCTGTTGTAGTCGCTGTTGGGTAAAATGTTCCGTGCCACTTCGGTGCCGTCTACATCAAGTAATCCGGCATTCAACTCATTGAACTCATCTTCTATCAAGTCATTCGAAAATTGATGGTATTGCTGCTGCATGCTCCTGTTGGACCCATCTGTCCCTGAACTATTCTGAGTGTGAATCCCTGATGGCTCGTTTTGTTGTTCCTTCTGTCGACCGTGTTTCTCATCCTGCTTGCGTTTTACCTGGTGCAATATCAAATCGCTGAACTCCTCATCTAAATTATGATAGTTGTTCGTAGAAGTCGACGATTTTCGAATATTGCCCAGATTATACCGGCTAGCTGTTGATTTTCTAGTACTAGAAGTATTATTACCCATGATTATTTTCCAATAACTAATTCGTACAATAGCCTGCCCTTTAAATAATCGTTCATGTATTGTGATCTCGTGTATTCCCTTATCGATTCAAGCTACTTTGAAGAGAAGAAGAAAAAAATCTACTATGTTCAGTCTAGTGTATCCTTTTCTGCAGTTTTTGGAGCAACTTGCACACCAAAACGAATAAGCATATCAATGTGCAGGATTGTTAGTTACATGCGGCCGGTCTTTCCAATTAAGGGTATCGTAATATGAACTGAATCTTAACGATGAAACTGATTGGACGAATCAGCAAATTTTCTGTTCACCCTGCTTTCATCCGGAATGTTTATTACCTGTTAGGCGTCCAAATGCTGCTGTTGCAAGTCAAAACGTGTAAAGTTGACGTATAACGAATTGTGGTACCCAAGACGGCTTTGATAATAAAAAGCGATATTCACGACATCGAGACATTTTGCCGTAATAAAATATACGACAAGAGCCCCTCACCGACATTGTTCCATATACTTGCGACATTGGCCACATTTCATTTTTTTTTTTTCTTGATTTTTGGGCGTGTGGCGTGTATTGTTCCATTTGCTGGCATAGTTTTGCTGAGTAGAAAAGAGGACGGAGATCCGGTGAAGAGCGCCAAAATAACCGCCAGCCGTACATTTCCACAATACACACATTTCCGAAAGATGAACATGTGTTAAAAGTTTAGGATTCTAGTGCTAGCTGATATATACGGTCCATCTGAAGTTTAAGAAGAATGGATGAAGATCTAGATCAGGTTTTTGGGGTCGTTCGGCTAGCGTCGGCATGCTGTTACAACAGGTGGGACTATTTCCCCTTTAAACACTATGACATACATTTAATACAATATACACAATTTATTCGGCCGGACTAGACCAATAGTGAAGTTCTGTAGTTGTTTGAGTTCCGCGGAATTGAATTTTTGGTATTTGGTGTTCGGTGCACACTTGAGTAAATTCTGATGAATAGGGAGCTGATGGTACAAATGGTGCAAAAGATCTCTAATATACGAACAACTGAACTTCTCTTTATGCGATTGTATGGCGTTTGGAAGCAGCTGAACATCGCTTACGACGTTCTCTTCTTAACCTTCGTTGCATTATACTGTAGCTTCCCCGTCTGATGATAACCTCAAGCTTGAACTTATTTAACTCAGGATACCAGGTGGAAATGTAGTTGCGAAGCTTTGTAATGAGATCTTTACGCTGTGGTTTGTTCGTATCACGGATCCAAGTTTTGTGGCCAAGCTCAAACTTGCAGTAGAGTTGAAAGACTTTCAACACCTTGAGTTCGATTTCACGGGTTAGCGAGATGTTGAGGTTGTCGAGCTCGAGTATATGCGATAGTTCGTGGATATTGATACGGGAGAAGTATTTATCATTATCAATTTTGGATATTTTGTTCATCTTATTGACGTAGTCTTCATGGGTGGCTTTGGGTTTTGCAACCGTCAAGCGATATTTGGGGTCGCGCTTCATTATGTGGAGAGGAATAAGCCCGAAAAAATTGGGTTCCAGATGGATTCTAGTGTCTAGTTCGACATTTGATATTTGCGAGCTGAATTCTTCTATCGACCTGTCTATGTCACTATTGAATCTTTCACTCGGCTTAAAAGGTTTGGCCTTATCTTTGCTCTTCCGCAAACCCAGACCCTTGCCTGATTTTTCACCAGTTGCACTTTTCCCCTTGGTTTCTATAATATTCTCTCGTTCGAGAAGTGTTTGCTGGTATTTGTGTTTCATTCGCCCAAATCTTATCACAACCTTCCACTCCGCGCTTGTTTTCTCGTGGTGGATCGTTCCTTCTGAAACCTCATTTATTAACCCTAACTCATCAACTATTGAACCCCCATTGAATTCTGAATAGGTATCTATCGTATCGATTGTATCAAATGAATATTCTTCCTCCACTAAACCAAAAATTTCTTTCGAGCATTGGGCGCTAGACTCACTTGAAGTAAGCGGTGACGCCAAGTCGTCCATGCCTCTGTAACTTTCAAATAAAAAGTCGTCATTGGTCCTAAATCCCTCACTAGGACTCAAATCATCAAATGCGAATATGTTGGTCTCAATAGATATTTGCCGGTTGAATGAGCACCGGTTTATGCTACTTGGTGTAACAAAACAATCCATAGGGTCCATGTTGTCCTATTACTGTCCTATACCTTTTCTAGCTATTTATGGGTGGATTTCTGGTCTATTTATAATTTCAGGTGTTCCACAATCTAACTATCGGTAACATAGTAACTGTATTATTGGCGGAGATCATCTAGGCTCGGCGCAGACGCATAGATGATACCTTAAAATATGCCATCACTAGATTAACGAGTTATGCTGTATTAATAGCCCTATGTATATATAAATGAATTCTAATATATACATATATATAGATGTTTTTCCTAGCTATCTATACATATCAATAACTTGGTATATATGTATATTGTTCTACAATAAATTTAAAGATATGTATCATAAGACCCCGTTTAGCGAACGTAAACAAATCTGCAAACTCTTCGATACGAAGGATACGCATTACCACTAATTATATATATGACCTAAACCAAAGGGACTTTAATATACAAAATAGCCTTTTATAAGCATCTATTATACTTATACTTGTATATTCTGTATAGTATGAATTATATTAGTATATCTATTGATATTAGACTCAAATAGGTTATATTACAAGCATATATCAATAGCACATTTATGCGATACACCACAATTAGACACATACATAATCTGCGCGTAGGCGAGATGCTCGGAGATTAGGTCGCCAGTTCGAACCCGGCACCAAAGATGTTTTCTAATTGTTTGAATTAGTTCGAAACACAACTGGCTAAGAGAGCGATAAAAATACTCCTGTAACAAGCAATACGTACATAGATATAAAAAATATTGTTCTAAGATATACTTAAGTGCAATAGTTGGAGGGAATGTGATACAATATATTATTGAGGCACTAGGTTGATAATCATATTGTAATTATAGAGCTTGCGGTACACACCCTAATAAGTTAATGTGTTAGTTATTAGTTATTGGACCTAATATCAACGAATAGTGATATTTTATACGTTTTAGGTATCGAAGCTAAATTATTGAACGCCTTAGCCAGTAAGTATCACTCGAATATATAAAATGCAAAAGCAAAAAGTTTTATTGATTGGCTTTATATAATGTTATTTAATATACAGCACCACTAGGTTAAATGTGCTTCTATGATGTTTTCTACCACACCATTGACATCGGCCTTCAAGTATTTCGAATTCATCAATACTTGCAAAAGCTTTTTGATACCAATACCCATTGGATTTTCCATATTGTTTAATTGGTCCACGATAGCATGTCTATCTTGTTCATTCATAAAGCCGATTTTGGTCATAATTATCATTAGTTCGTCAGTGCTGGTAACTTGCCCCACACCAATGGTCTTGGTGAAACAATCTACCAAGTTCATATGTTTTAAAACCGAATATTGCGACGTCGTTCCGATGATCAAAAGTCTTCTTCCGTTAGGTGGTTGCTTATTCAAGTTGACCATCAACATCTGCAAGATGTCATTGGAAAATCTAGGTCCAATTGGAACGTAGTTGATCAAATTCTCGATTTTATCAATAACCAAGATGTTTAATGGAGACTTGTATATATCTCTAAAAATATTGTCGATAGTGGTTATTTTCATACCTTCTGACATTCCCACCAAACTTTCGGCAGAAAGCATCTTGATAAATGGGAAATCCGAATTGAGCGCCAAGGTAGACGCGATTGCAGTCTTACCTGACCCTGGAGGTCCATGTAACAAAATACTGATTAATCTCTCTGTCTCGGAAGATTTAACTTCATCAATAAACGATTGACCCTTATCAAAGATAGTTTTGACTTTAGGAGAGTATGGGATAATTCCGTGTGGAGCATTCTTGGTCAAGTCTTCTTCATTAACACCAAACGCCGGCTTTACTTCATTCAATGCCAATAAGAAATCGTTTCTGGTCAATTTCATCTTGGCAATATTAGCATCTACTTGTGCCATTGAGTCACTCTTGGTATACTTATTGATGGCAAAAGAAGTTGCCGAATTACATAAACCTTCTAACTCGGCACCTGTGAAATTCTTAGTTAAGGCTGCTAATTCGTCAAAGTCCACATCGTCTTCCAACAAGTCGTTTTCTTTCATCTTTTTGGTGTGAATTAAAAGAATGTCTTTACGGCCCTTTTCGTCTGGCAACGAAATTTCAATCTGAATCTCGAATCTACCAGGTCTCAATAGCGCATTATCGATCAAATCTAATCTGTTGGTCATACCAATAATTAAAATGTTGTTCAACTGGTCGACACCATCCATCTTTGCTAACAACTGATTCACAACATTGTCACCAACCCCGGTACCATCGGACTTCGCAGATCCTCTTTGTTTGAAAACTGAATCCAATTCATCAAAGATAATGATATGTAATTGCGAGTTTTCTCCCTTCTGTTTATATTCAGTTTCGGCATCCAGAAACAACTTTCTAATGTTCTCTTCAGATGCACCAACATACTTGGACAACATCTCTGGACCATTAACAACCTTTGGCTCCTTAACATTCAACATTTTACCAATTTGTCTTGCAATCAATGTTTTACCTGTACCTGGGGGTCCGAACAACAACAAACCCTTGACATGTCTCAACGCTAACTTTTCTACTAAATCTGGTGAAATAATTCTACTGGCAAAAGCCCTTCTAAAAATCTGCGAGAACTCTTCGTCTAACCCACCAATACCCATTTGTTCCAACTTGAAATCAGGGTTGATTATTGGTTTACCCTGAGGCTTTCTAAGTTGTCTCGAGCCACTTGGAGCTGCAATGTTGATCGACGAACCCTCTACTGGATACATACTGACTTGGGTCTGTTTGATCAAAATCCCCTTCGCACTCAAGTCGCTCAATGTCTGCAAGTCTGGTACATCGCCCAAGTTGTTGATATCAAGCACCTGGATACCAGTCACAGTGATGATGAAAATATTCGCCTTAAAGTCCATGACAATCGACTGTGATGGCTGCAAGATCTGGTTCTCGTACATCTTCAAAAAGTGTTGCACCAACTCGTCGTGGTTAATAGGAGCCGAGTGCGCCTTTGATCTGGATCTGAAATCAATCACCAATTCCACACTTCCCAAATAGCTCTTTTTATTCCCATCAAATATGTTGAAGGGTTCGACCACCACTGGCTGCTGCAACGACCATTTTCCCCACAGTCTCATGTTACCTGCAAGTCCGACCAGTCCTGGTGCCACCGAGTCGTCCTTGAAAATTGAATAGACAAAATTTCCGTCCAATATGACTGGTTCTCTGTTTCCTACCTCCTGGAAGTCTCTTGGGTTAACCCCAATACAATTAGACAATGCCACCGCATTCGAAGGGCAGTTATCTACCTTGAACTGCTTCTTAAAGTGTCTCACTGGCGCCTTTCTCTCAGGCACAATTGGCTGATTGTGAGTGATCAAAGGGTTTCCAGGACCCGGATGATTTGAAACCTTATGAAATCCTAGCTTTTCCATCATACGTTTGTCTGTTATTGGAGTTCTAGTGTTTAATGGTTGATTAATCTTTGGGGACCCATACAAAATAGGCGCCTGCTGTTCTGTTCAGCTATCGCTAGGCATCAACGGTCGTGTTTCGACCATTTTTTGATTTCTGGATTCTGCGCGGATTTGTCGGTCGAATTACCCGATGATTCTGCCATTTCGTGTTGATACCATTAAAAGCATCTGAACAGAGATACCTCGGCCTAGCTGACACGGTGCGGTCGTGTGGCGCATTGATAACGGATTATGGCCAGATTTACCCGACTTATTAATCGCGCCACAGTTTGCTTATGATAACCTCTGGAATATAGGTTTTTGCAATTGCTCCATGGTTTTTACTCAGCAGATTATGAAGCAAAAGAGATATTAATCAGATCGGATACCCATGGAGAATCCAGAACCATCCCATGTCTTGCTTAAAACGCGTTCTATTAGTCAGTAAACTAAAAGATCAGATAACCGATCTCGATCTGCTTTAGAGTTTACCCGGAACACTTACCGCAATTAGTAATTAATCGGGTCTTCTAGAATTTGTCGGACGAAAATCATCGGTATATAAATGGAACCATTTTCCACAGTTTTTCAAAACCATTTTATTCATTTAAATTCATTATTTATTAGTCAATTGACATTATAAACTACACATTAAAATAGATATATACACAATGGTCGCACAAATTCAAAAGCCAGCTCCATCATTCAAGAAAACTGCTGTTGTTGATGGTGTCTTCGAAGAAGTTTCTTTGGAACAATACAAGGGTAAGTGGGTTCTCTTAGCCTTCTTCCCATTGGCTTTCACATTCGTTTGCCCAACTGAAATCATTGCTTACTCTGAAGCTGTTAAGAAGTTTGCTGAAAAGGACACCGAAGTGTTATTTGCATCCACTGACTCTGAATACTCCTTATTGGCCTGGACCAATGTTGCTAGAAAGGACGGTGGTTTAGGACCAATTAACATTCCTTTACTTGCTGACACTAACCACTCCTTAGCCAAGGACTACGGTGTATTATTAGAAGACGATGGTGTTGCATTAAGAGGTATCTTCTTGATTGATCCAAAGGGTGTTTTGAGACAAATCACCGTCAACGACTTACCAGTTGGTAGATCTGTTGAAGAATCCTTAAGATTGGTTGAAGCTTTCCAATTCACTGAAAAGCACGGTGAAGTTTGCCCAGCTAACTGGCAACCAGGTTCTGAAACCATCAAGCCAGAAGTTTCCTCTTCTAAGGAATACTTCGGTAAGGTTAACAAATAGACTAAGATATACATATAATATATACACTAGACTTCAATATATTTATTACTGATAATTTCACGAGCTCGTGTAGTTTGATAAATAAGGGGCTAATTAGATCCACACCGTGGTGGTCCGACAACTGCAAGCCACACAAATTTCCACGGTTCAACAAATACTAGTCAATTGACTGGCGAAATTTTATTTTGTTTATTATTTATATCAATGCTAGTCCATGGGGCCAGTTCGGGGTTTATATTCCTGTTTACTCCCCATTTCTCTCCTAATGTAATCCTATGTCGGCTCTTACCAGATAAAAAAGTTGGCTGAAAATATATCGCGATTTAGAGAATCCTTCCATTCTGTACTCTCTAGATAGCTCAACTTGCATTATTTCAATGTCTGACGTATATTTCTATAAGTATCTAGTCAATCACCAGGTATTCTTCAGGTCTAAGTACACCTATGCTTTGGTCAACATTAAGCCTTTGGTTCCGGGACATGTTCTTGTTGTGCCATTAAGAACCAGTATTTTGAGGTTTGGAGATTTAACGGCAGAAGAATCCCTGGATTATATGCTGACATTGCAACTTATTCACAAGTTTATAATACATTTATACAATGCCGACTCATTAAATATTGCTATTCAAGATGGGCCTGAGTCTGGACAGTCCATACCTCATTTACACACGCACATAATTCCTCGTTACAAGACCGATGGATTTGGAGATGGAATATATGAAAAGTTAGATAGATTGGACCTAAATAACACATTAATTGAGTTTTTTGAAAGACAACAAGCGTACCAAAAATCTGGAGGCTTCCAACCAGTGCCAGATGAAGGTAGACTGCCCCGGTCAGATGAAGTATTATCTAACGAGGCAATATGGCTTAAAGACGAACTCGAAAAGTATATGAATCAATGATAGGTACTATCTATCCTATATAAACAAATCTAGACAGCCCATGCATCTAATATACGTAGTTATTGATTCTATTGACCAATAATCTGTAGATAAGGCTGGGACAACGTAAGGTCGTGAGTGCGCTGCAATATGAAAATTGAAGATTTATTTAAAATGATAGTATAAGCGGTGTAATTCTTCACTAATAAAACATGTCGAAAGAACCACTTGACGAAATACAATGGAAGAATCCCGAATGGATTCAACAATTCGGATTATTCACTGGAAATGTGTTAGATTATTTTAGTGAATCACCATTCTATGATAGAACATCTAATAACCAGGTATTACGAATGCAATTTCAATTCCAACAGATTCCACCTAATATAAACCCACAGAAATATTTACAGCTGAAACTAGTAGAGATGACAGGTATAGAGTTTATTATTGCGGCATCCAGGGAGCCAGACTTCTGGATCATCAGAAAACAAAGAAGATTAAGTCCAAAACAGGTGAACATTGAACAAGACTATTATATAATAGGAGCCAATATATACCAAGCACCTAAGGTTTACGATATATTATCTTCTCGGTTACTTTCGAGTGTATTATCCATCAAGGGTTCGATGGAATTATTAAACAAAATGAGCAAGTTTAATATTCATGATATGGGCCATTCATATCCCACTTTACAAGCCGAGAAAGAAATATCATCCAGTTCTAACACAATCCCCAATACCGTGTCATTGAATACGGCCACTCCTATGTTGAACACACCGGCAACCACATCTAATATAAATTCTAATGGCCAAACATCTACGAACCTTGGTTTAAACAACGAAATACTGAATCTTGCATTTGACAATTTACTAAATAACGTAATTAATTCATCAAATGATGATACCTATTTAGAAGATATACCTTTATACGGCAAAGGAAGCACTGTCGAATCGTTGGGCGTGAAGGTGAACCAGGATGAAATATAGATTACGTCCTTTAAAGTTCGTCCTTGGCGCTTTTTTCGACTGCAATTTCCCCAGCAGCAGAAATCTTTAATTCCTTGACTGGACGATCACCATAGCTTGTAGAAACATTTTCCATGTAATCGACTACATCGAAACCATCGACAACTTCACCAAAAACAACGTGTGCACCATTCAACCAGCTGGTTGTAACAGTAGTAATGAAGAATTGGGATCCATTGGTGTTCTTACCGGAGTTAGCCATTGATAATCTGTATGGTCTGTCATGCTTCAATTCGAAATTTTCGTCGTCGAATTTTCCACCGTAGATTGACTTACCACCATAACCTTTTCCGGTTTCAAAATCACCCCCTTGAAGCATGAACTTTGGAATGATTCTGTGGAAAATCGAATCAGTGTAACCGAACTTTGGATCGGTTGAAACTGCTAATTGTCTAAAGTTTTCGACAGTCTTAGGAACAACGGTACCGAACAAACCAATGGTGATTCTTCCAATTGGCTTTCCATCTTCAGTCACATCAAAGAAGACCTTGTGGGTAATTGGGGGGCTCTCTGGTAAATCTTTGGAAGCAGTAATAAGCTTACCAAAGAATAATACAGCAATAGATAAGATTGCAAATAAACTAGTTAATAATTTCATCTTTGACATTAATAGTAATAGTATACTATAGGAACTTTTACTAGATACAAAAAAGAACACCTACTACTCCAGATGATGACACAAAATTGAACAATTCTACGATCGACGATTTATTATAGACTTATGTTGTTGTATTTACTCTGTTTAAAAGTAGTTAGCTATGTACAAATGATATACTAGTCTTGTGAGGATAGACTGAATGTCCATAGAGCAATTGAAGAATTGGTCGACAATTGCAAAAAAGCTTTTTATGACATGATTATGACAAACTCGAATGAGAATGTCTGTTTGGTTCAAGATAACTCTCATGCTTGTACCAAATAGTAGGAAACAAGTGCATTAGAACTCTCTTTCACCCTTTCTTTCGGCTTCCAACTCTTGAGACTCGAATTTTTCCTTTTCTTCCAATCTCTTTAATGCATTTCTCTTAGCCAAGACGGTCTTTGCATTTCTTTCTCCACCGTTCTTCTTCTTACCTCTTTTGTGCTCCCTCAATGGCTCCAAGTCGTTCTGGAACTTGTGAATCCACCTAAGCATGTAACGTCTGGTGGAAACATCGATACCCATGTTCTTCATATCCTTGGACGAAGTATTCAAAAACTTCTGTAAATCGTTTTCAAAGGCGTCGAGATGTTCAATGCAGTCACGGCCAATCAACTTGAAAAACGTTTCCAAGTCATGGACGTTCTCTTTGGTACTGGTGGAAGTGTTGGTCTTAAATGATATAGTAGATGCACTTATTGGTCTTATTGGGGTGAGATTTATGCATCTAGGAGCTGCCAACTTGGGCATTTGTATTAAGGGCCTGGCAAATAATCTGAATGACATTATGTAAACCTGTTGTATGCTAAATAGTGCTACAGTTAGGTCTTGATCAATAAAATTTTCATCAAAAGTCGAAGCTCAACACTTTTGACTGGATGCAGGATTGGACATATATGGTTCTTACAGTAATAACTACACGGATATACTGATATATAGCTTTTATTTTGTGTATATAGACTTGTTAGCTTGTGGATAAGCTAGATTACAATAAACCCTTGTTTTGGAATTCTTTTAATAAGGAGTTACCTAATCTGGCTGGAGACTTTTCGACAACAACACCAGCAGATTGCAAAGCAGCGATCTTGGAGTTGGCATCACCCTTACCACCAGCGACGATAGCACCAGCGTGACCCATTCTTCTACCTGGTGGAGCAGAGACACCGGCAATGAAAGAAACAACTGGTTTTGGACCTTCTGGTCTGGTTAAGTTGTATTGCTTCAAGAATTCAGAAGCTTCTTCTTCGGCTGTACCACCGATTTCACCAATCAAGATGATACCTTCAGTTTCTGGGTCGTTCAAGAATAAGGTCAAAGCATCAATGAAGTTGGTACCTGGGAATGGATCACCACCCATACCAATGACTAAGGATTGACCTAAACCAACTTGGGTGGTTTGGGAAACGGCTTCATAGGTCAAAGTACCGGATCTAGAGATAACACCAACCTTACCTCTCTTGTGGATGTGCGATGGCATGATACCAATCTTACACTGTTCTGGGGCAATTATACCAGGACAGTTTGGTCCCACTAATCTGGTCTTAGATTGAGTCTTCAACATTTGGGCAATTCTGACCATGTCGTGTTGAGGAATACCTTCAGTAATGGCAACGGCCAAGGCAATTTCGGCTTCGATGGCTTCTTCAATGGCACCAGCAGCAATAGATGGTGGAACGAAGATGGCGGTAGCACTGGCGCCGGTTTCGTTAATGGCATCTTTGACAGAAGCAAACACTGGTCTGTCCAAGTGTGTGCTACCAGCCTTCTTTGGGTTGGTACCACCTACGACCTTGGTACCGTAAGCAATCGCTTGTTCAGCGTGGAATGTACCCTGTTTACCAGTGAACCCTTGGTAGATCACCTTGGTGTCAGCATTGACCTTAAGGTTCTTGATAGTAGAAGCATAGTTCTTGGCTGGGTTGGTGGAGGCAAATCCACGAATAAATTGTTTGTTCATCATCTTAGATCTATCGTTAAAAACTATTCAAACTTATTGTATATAATTAAGAAGAAACGGTTTATTTAAATTGATTGTTTCAACACCTGTCGTTCCAAAAACTTTCGGGCGCTACGTACCCGGGTAAAAAATTGAGCATCAACGGGGACTTTTTGTGCAAAAAGTTCGATTCTTTTGCATTTTACTTCGGTTTATGGGTATATTTATAGTGTAGGGGTATATATGGAAGTATGTCGGTGTCTACTACCTACCATGCTTCTCTGAGAGAGGTGTATTCATTATGTATATCGTGGTGATAGCAAATCTCATCACCTAATTATGTCCCATTTAGCTACCTCGGACAACGAGATGAGTCCGATTCGCACCGGGAGGAGACTTCACAATAGAGGTGTATGGGTGGAAAGGCATTAGTATGGGCTACAGTATCGGAATAAACAATAAACGGGATTTATTAGACGTGGTGTACAAAAGAGATGGGGAGGAGAAATAAGTGGGTCCGGTTGGAATTAGTAGTTAAACAAACTCTTGTAATATAAACATCTGCTCTGCAACAAGTCCCAATCATTTTGGGTTACCCACATCTCGTTAACGACCTTCAACCGGCCGTAGACACTTCCACCCTTCCATGTAAGCATCTCGGGATCGAATTCTCGAGGAGGAGGGAGGACATTCACGGGCAACACGGATCCCTTGTCACTGATAGAGTCGATGTGGTCGAGATCAAGGACCAATTGAGTCTGCGAGTCGATTTCGGCAATCTCATCGTCTGTGAGTTCAACATCGTCAAGCGCCTGTTCGGGACCCTTTTTCCTGGCCTTGTAATCGGCAATCAATTGCGACCGCGACTCTTCGATCTTTTGTCTCTCGGTCGAAACATAGTCCAACATCTCATCGAGGGTACTAGACGATAAGAACTTAGGTCTCCAGATGTTGATTCTGTCTGAAAGGACCAGGTCGAACCCGGACACCTTGGCGAATCCTCCGCCTACGATGAGCAAGTTGTCGTAGAATTTTTTTGTTTTGGAGAAGTCGGATACTACACCCGCGTTGGTGATTGACTCGATAATGGCCTTTTCGAGAGGAGTCGAGCAGTTAAGATGCGGATCTTCCATAGCAGATGTTCTGGCGGGCTTTGGCTTGGAGTATGGATTGGCTGACTTCATGTCGTTTCTCTCGTCAAGGATTCTGTTCAACAATGCTTCATCGGCCAAATCTGAATGGACTAATTTGTTCATGATATTCTCCTGTGACTTCGAGTACGGGTTGTTGGGTTTTCCTGAGTACTGATCAACGGATGGACTAAAGAGCTTCTTGTTGTTATGGGCCGTCTTGTCGATTTGAAATAAATCGGGATAGAATAATCCAAGCGGAGCCAACATAACTTCGTCGAACACCTTGAACTCGTATTTTTTAGTTGTTTCGTATGGTTTTCTTTCGTAGAAATGATATAATTGCACCGCTATATCGGCATCTTGGAACGTTATAAAGTTATGTTTCAAAGTTTGTGCAAGTTCCCAATCTTCGTTTCTGCTACTCAAGTTGATATCTTTGTACGGAAATTGACTTTGTAACAATAATTTAATGAATGCTTCTGTTATATTATCACCACCGTAGTTCAAAACAATTCTTGAATCATTAATGACCATCCCTTCATCAACACATGCAATTGAAGTAGTTTGTGATCCTACGTCAACAACGCATGCGCTTGTAGCGCCGGCACCAAATGTAGCCAGTACTGATTCCTGAATTATACCTATTTTTCCAAAACCAACTTGCTTAAACAACAAGTCACACCATGTTTCTACTTGCATTTTATCGTATAAATCAGGAATGATAAGTATGGCTTTTAAGTTGGCTAATTGAGCCTTCTTGATGTCTAAGTCATTTAAGGACTCGATTACTATATTACTCAAGTCTCCCAAGATCTCCTGACACGATTCATAATCATCGGATGATTCATTGAATCTACCATTTATTATTGGATAACGTAATTTCCAGTCTGTAAATTTTTCACATATCGGCAAACTTAATGCTTCCTCACCAACAAAAAATCTATTTTTGTTATACTTCGGATCCTTTAAATCAATCCATTCTTTCTTCATGGGATCGTTGTGATCAGGTATCATTTCGGGTTCCTGTCTTTTATTATAATTTGCCGCAGTTTCTCTTGAATTTGGAAGCATTCTTCTCTTGTAATATCTCATTCTCGCTTTGAAATCCTTAGTGACGGTCTCTTTAACCTCATCAAACTCTTCATTGAAAAATACTTGCCCTTCTTCATTAACAGTTCTTACCGGTGTTGGTGCGATTTTGTCCGTCTGGTTATGCTTGTTGGTATTTGGAACTGCAATCACCGTTGGCACAGTCTTAGGGAAAGCATCGGTTGCTCTTCCAATCCTAATATTGGATGATCCTGGATGGATAATAATAGTATCAAATCCTAATCTGGCTTTCTCTTCGCTGATCTCTTCATTCTCATTTTCATCTTCCTCTTCTTCCTCTTCTTCCTCTTCTTCAACCGGAAACTTCTTTTTGTTCATTTCCGTCTCAATATCATTCAAGTTAAAGTCATCAAAGTTCTTAGCTTCATTAACATCACTATCATCCTTTTTGAGTTCGTCTTTCTTTAAATTCTTGAGCTTCTGGGCCAACAACTTTTCAGTTCTCCAGTTTCTTATAAACGAAACTTGTTCGTCCTTCTTCAAATAGTCGGTGTAATAATTCTTCTGGTTGATCAAAGGAATTTGCTTAACACTGGTCAACGTGAATCCATTCTGCTCTTCAAATCTACCGATACCTGTTTTCTTAATATTGTTGGCAATAGTAGCCGCAGCTTTTCTTCTACCTTCTTTACGACGTTGTAATACCTCGGCAGATGGCTTTTTCCCCGGTGCTGGCCCTTTCTTTCTTTTCTTCGCTTGGGAATCACCTTCATTGGAAGAATCCTCATCATAGGCTTCTTCATTCTTAATCTCACTTATTTGAGGTAATTCCTTTACAGGATCTGAAGACGGAATTTCTTGGGAATCACTGACCTCGTTAGTCATCTTAATGTATCAGTTCTAACTTTGTTGTTCCCACAATCTCCTTGAGTATTTTATAACAAGTTTTATAGCAAATATTTCGACAATACATGTTCGCGTAAATCGTTCAATAGAAAAATGCAAAATTTATTAACCTGATATAACTATAAAGCTATTAATGATTAGATGTAGAAATAGATAATGGTATGATATGCTAGTCATGACTATGAAACCAGAAAACAATTTGTTGAAAAAAAAATATTAATAATCAAGAGTTAATTTTGGAATAGGATTGTTCCTTGAGTGGTTAGTACCATTTCTTCTATTAATAATGGAATCAGAAGCCAATGGAACCACTTGAGGAATTATGGGAGTGGAATTAGCACTCTTTGATGGAATTTTTTTATGCTTGGATAAGTTCATAATGTTTAGTTTCAGTTTATTTTCGTTATCGAAATCCCATAACTTTCTCTTCCATTCGGATAGATTGTTGTGTAGCTCGAACAACCTGACCAATTGCTTTTTATCGTTGGTAGAATTCTTCGGGTTGGATTTCAATGAGTTGTAAAGAGTTTCGTACTCTTTGTACTTTTCTTTAAATTTATCTGCCAATGTGCTGTAGTATTGGAAACGTTTGCGCTTGTGGCTGGTGTGATCTTCGTCAGTCTCAGCCGCGAAGGCTCGATTTTTGCCCATTGAGTCAATAGCATCGTTTATGGAGATTTGGGAGTCGTCATCGTTAATCGAAGACGATGGCGACGTATGCGAGTCGGAGTCAGATTTCTTCTTCTTGTAACTCCTGTCTTCGTCCGAGTTAGATGCTGAGGTAACTATCTTCCGTTTCTGCGTGATCTTCAAAGGTGATCCGCTTTGCTTGGGCCTATCTGCTGGTTTAGCAACAAATGCTTCCGAAGGAGGTCTCGGTGATTCTGTTTGTGACCGCTTCATAGGGGATTTTTTGGTCTTGCTAATCAATATGCCACCCCCTAATGTAGATTTCTTCTGATTGGCATTGTTTGTGCCTACTGGCTCGTCACAGATTTTCTTTCTGAGCGGATGGGTTTCCAGATATCCTAATCTGGTCAATGCATTGTGGATATTATTTATGATCATATGCCTCTCTCTTTCTGAGTACCAGTTCCATGCCCATGGTTTCAAATCCTTGTAGGACTTATCCTTCAAAATATAGTGATCTGCTTCGTCAGACTCTAAATCTTCGTTAGGAAAATTGTCATCACTAATAAAGCTGTCGTTGGGGTTATATATCTGCGCGTGGGCTGTGAACAACGGATCTAGATCCTGGGACGAGACTTTCAACTTTTTCACCACTGCCTGCTTGGTGGTTGGTCCTAATGCTAGAAGAGAGAGAAACTTAAGCATAATGTCCGTCTTGAAGTCGTTGATATCCACCACATACGGATTCGTGTTCAACGGGGACGACGGAGCCGATGCGCTTAAATGAGGAACCTCTGAAGAAATCTTCTTGGCCGCCATACTCGGAACATCCTTCTTGGTTGTATGGTGACTCATGGTCTTCAAATGATCCCGGATCTGCTTTGGATCCGTTAGCACCGTCAACTTGGAATCAATACGTCCGTCGAGTACGTACCTATCGTCATTACCACTGTAAACGTCTAGGGTGGGTCTGTCCGGTATCTTGGTACAAGGAAACGCCAATTCATCCGAAATCTTAATCGTCTAAAATCGTTAGTAATCTTGTCGTTCTAAACCTATTTTCATGCCACTTGGTCTTCGGTAACCGTGGACTATACATACAAAGTTCCCGTCTTTCACCACCAACTTGGGTCTTGTTCCCTTGGCTAAACACGTCTTAAACTGGCTTATCACCTCGTTATTCAATTTCATCGATACTGCTGGTGGGACATAATTGTGTGGGGGCCGCTTCAAAATCGATATACTTGGTACCATCTGGTAATTGGGGTCTGTAAATAGCCTAATGTGCTTGGGGATGTATATGAACGTCTTATAACGTATTTAAACAACTATATCTACTGTTATACCCTAAATAAATTTTTTTCACTAAAAATTCTACAGGGGCATATCCATAAATGAACCTGATTCGTAACTAGGAGTAATTTTTCACCCTAAAAATTCGGAGTTTATTTTTTTCTCTTTAGAGGAACTCCTACATTTCCAGACCTCTCTAAGCCTGCGGAAGTGTCTGGGTTAATGACTGATGAACCGTTTATACCCTGATTTTCTACTCATTGTACTCTACATTGGTCTACAATATTATTCTCTCTACTCTACTGTACTATACTATCTCTAATAATAACGACTATCTTGTATTCGACTAATTACTGTGGCCCATGCAAAAACCCTCCTCTGTATGAGTCACCTTACTTCATTCTCTACTCCTCCCTCTGACCCAACATGCCCTAGGCTCTAGAGATTATTTTTAGTTCCTCCTCTCTGGTCCCACCGTGATCCTGCTCGGTCTCACACAAACGCACCGTGGTTCAGACACAACGTCAAGCTTGTGGAATGCGGTGCGTTTGTGTTAGTGACCGTACGGGTTTTTACAACTGGAACCTGTGGTTACGTAGTTTCCGAAGGTGGCATTGTGCAGAGGTACCAGTACACCAGAAATTAGTCCGTTGAATCGGAAACGGCTGGAACAGCATCATTGGCCAGGGCCAATGATGCCAAGGGTGCACCCACCGATATCGTCTGGGATACCCATACAATAGCCATATATTAGTACAGGCCTAATGTGGTCAGATTATGGTCTGACTGTGGTCAGAATCGCTGATGGTGGTCTGATGCTCGTAGCAAACCGGGAGGTTTAGTGGTGGTGTATGGTCTTTTGGTGTTCGGGTGTAAATACATCGCTGACGTAAGCCAGTTGAATTGCGATGTTCACTGTTACCAATATGGCCCATATTAAGATCAACACCCTTTCTTCCTGATATTTTGGCAGTCATACAAGTCTAAACAGTAAGCAGTATGTTAAAGTGGGTTCAATCAGGTCTTTCTGCAGTCGCAGGAACTGCAGAACCAGAATACGGCAGAGAAGCTATTCATCCTATCACAGATACCGTCAACAATGAGAGCAAGTGCTACAGAGAAACTACTATTGAAGATTTTGGGTGGATTCAGCCAACATCGACGAATGTCGAAACTCAGACGTTCTACTTCTCGTGTTTGAAGACTGGGTACCTTGGATTTGCACAGGTGATCCATTCAAACGTTATGGGGGTGCATACGACGGCGCAGTTCACGTTCAGGCTTTTCAACTTCAAGGGCAAGGAGGAAGACAACTTGTGGACATCGACCAAGTTAGAGGACTTCAGATGCGAAGGATCGAATTTCTACGCCAACGAATTGTCGATTGAGTTAGATAAAGACAATACGCTGTACAGGCTCAAGTCATCGGTCAACAAGGACTCGGTGGTTGATTTGACCGTGGTCAAGTTGGTCCCAGGGGTTATTTTTGGTGAGAATGGTACCACATACTATGGGGATGATTTAGCCAACCCATGGGGGTCGATGCGTCACTTGTTCTGGCCTAGATGTTCCGTGACTGGTACCGTGAAATCGGGTGACAAGGTCTTTGAAATTGAAGGCTTCACAATGTTTGTGATGGCCATGCAAGGGATGAAACCCCACCACGCTGCCAAGGCATGGAACTTTTTGAATTTCCAATCTGAATCTCATAGTGCCGTGCAAATGGAGTTCACGACCCCAAGATCTTATGCTAACACCAAGGTGAATATTGCCATTTTGACCTCCAATGATAAGATTTTGTCATGCTCAGTTAACAATGAAATTGTACATGAAAATGCTGAAGTCGATGAAGTCGGCTGGCCTGTTCCTAAATCTATCACCTTTAACTTTGAAGGTGTGAGCGATGATAACAAAAAGGTCGTTGGTAAAGTTCACGGTGCTTTGAAAACATTAGTTGAGAGAGTTGATGTTATGGCCGAGATTCCACAATTTATCAAAAATATTGCTAGTGGTGTTGCCGGTACAAGGCCTTATATCTATCAATTCTGCAATGATATGGAAATTGAAATTGATGGTACTAAGGAAAGTGGTGTGAGTTACAGTGAAGCTACATTTATTTCTGAATAAATCACAACTCATTGACTATATCACTACATCGGTATTTCCCGTTTTATTTAATTATTAATTTTATTACGTTATTTTAGTTAATTTCTAATGATCCATGTTTATTTTATCATCTGAAACCAATGATGATATATAGTTTAGTTTAGTCTTTTAATGAAAATAAAGATTTTTATGTTACGAAAAGATTAATTGATTGGTTTATGTGGTTTATGTGTTTTTGCTCTGTCCATTCTTTTTGTACCTAAGACGTCTGATAATATTCAATCTATTGTTACTAAAATTGAAGTTTTGTGCAAAAATCGGCAAATTACAAAATATTGCATTATTCCAATTAACTGAAATCATAAAACTTAAAACTCAGATCAAAACAAAGAATGAATAACTTTCAATTCGTTACTAAGTATACCAATATCAATTACATCTAAGTAAATAACTTTATCAATGTACCCTATAACCTTCTCCTGACTTTGTGCTTGAAAAGAACGAGCCGCATTTATATGTTGCAATTCATAATATCCTTATGAACCTTGACACTTTACCTTTATTACTTACGAGAAAAGATAAAGAAAGCCATCATCCAAGAGTTCTTGTAGTTAGCTATCAAGGTTATATAAACTTCTATTTGGGTTTTAGGAATCTTTGTTAATCCATTGTGAATAACGTAATAGCTCTCTTATCTACGACATTGAATGTGCCTTAGCAACAATTTGCGAAACGACTCAACAGAATATGAGCAATTCTACTTGATGGAAATAATGAAAGTATACCTGACCCATTACCCATTCAAGCTTCAGTGCCTATGAGAAATAAGTTGCCATTATTGGTAAAAAAAATAGAGGACTCCTC